TGCTCTTCTCCCCGCTTCGGCATATTGCATTATGGCGCTAGACGCAGCGCGTACCATCATCAAAGATAGACCTGCCTCGTTGGTTGAACTTCACGACTTACAGATTCTGAGCGGAATCAATATCGAACGCGAGTCTGCAGGCGTCGAAGTCATGTTCACTCTTAACATCCTCCCACAGAGCAAGGGCGGAAGTGCGAATACAACAGTGGAAGCGGACTTCAGTTTGGTATCATGCCCTGCGGACGGGACGACAACTATGCGATTGAATATGGTCGGACACCTTAAGATGTACCTAGGTGAGCCGACTCTGGGTGCTTTGCCTTCTCGATGCGCTTCTGAGTCGGAGGCGTTCAGTGCGACCCCTGAGTCTTTCTATAAGATGATGGCGGAAACTGGATTGGTGTATACTGGGCCATTCAAAGCGCTGGAATCCATCCAACGTCGTTACAACTACTGTAGCGCAACCTTGAAGCGTTACCATGCGGAGGACACTACGGCACTACCGATTAGTCCTGCCACGCTCGACAGTTGTTTCCAGTCAGCATTTTTGACATATGCTTTCCCAGGTGATAAGTGAGTCCCCCATATAGCGCCATAACTTTTACATTTCGTTTCAACTGACATTGGAGCTCAACAGATCCCTTTGGACTTCTTTCCTCCCCGTACATATCGATCGAGTGCGCTTTAACCTGACGACGAGCGAAAGCGATCGTTTGATTGTAGATACTCACTTGGTTGATGTCCAGCCCTCGATGGCTGACACTAAGGCTACTTTCGCTGTTGAAATAAGTATATTCAACGAGAATAAAGACATGGAGATTCAAGTCGAAGGACTGACAGTTGCCGCTTTGGCGCACACTCAACCAAAGGATGACTATGAGCTATATCTCCACACTGTCATGGATACGGACCCCAGCGATGAGATCGTTCGCGCAGACGGGGCGTCTACTATCACGTACAGTCCACACGATCCGGTACTCGTGGAGAGTTGTGCGCGGGTAGCTACTTTTTTTGTCAGACGACACTATGGTGCCCATGCGCAGTCATCGGATCTCAATATCTACTATGAGAAGTTGGCAAAATTGTTCCCAATAATTCTGGGGACTATAGGTCCTGAATGTTGGTCTTCTGACACGAAAGAGATTATCGACAAATTCGTGGAATGTTCAAACTACTACGATCGTTTGAACTTGCTTCGCACGCTTGAAAATTATGAGTCGGGCTTCGTGTTGGATGTTATCCAAGCCCTTGCTGGCGAGACGAACTACCTGACTTACTCCCACCAACACGTGGGACGGATTGCGAAGCAGATTGCTCACCAACACGCCAGGATGAATATCCTCAGTTTAGCCGGACAGGAGGTTGAACTTCTTGTTGAAGTCTTGTCAGCTCTCGATTCGTCATATTCTTCCTTCACTATCGGTACTAAAACGGCCCAGAGCCTCGGCCAGCATGTCAAACTGGAAGGATCCTCAGGTAAACTCATTCGTTCATCACTGGATTTCGCAAGGGACCTCAAGACTCAGCTTGGACCGGAGAATGTTTACGATTTGGTTTTGTTATCGGCATCAGAACTTGAGAATGAGCACGCGTCGGGAATGTTGAAGAATATACGTGCTGTTATGAGACCAGGGGGTTTCTTGGTTGTCGTACAGTTCCCTAAGAGCAAGGTGAAATACCGACTACCTCAAACTTCAAAGGGCCGGGTTGATAGAGTCGAGGCGCAAACGCCACCCCAGTGGCCGGATGCTCTCGATATTCATGGTTTCGTACAGGTCGCAAAACACTGCAACCAGTCATACTATGCGGGATACTCAATAATGGTCCGACAATTGACCTCCCCCGAGCTAGAGCTTGTGAAGGAACCAACGAGAACTGAGGGCAGCATTATCGCAGACCATCTTCTTGTCATTGGCGGTAATGGTCCATCTAGCACTCCTATTGCTAAGACATTAACACAACGTCTCTTGCCTCTGTGCAATAAAGTATCCTTCCGAGCTACTTTTGACAATGTCGATTCAGATGTCACGAGTGGCTGTACTGCTGCTGTCATTCTAACAGATCTTGACAAGCCACTGATGTCGAACATGACACAACGAACCCTTGATCGACTCCGAGAGCTACTCAAACCCAACATGAAGGTCATGTGGCTCACGTTCAATGCACGTTTTGGAAATCCTGACCACGCTGCCACCTTTGGATTCACGCGTACAGTTTCGGCCGAAATTCCTAGCTTAACCTTGCAGATGCTTGATCTAGATCAAATCGTTGGATCTGGGGATCTTGTAGCTGACAATTTTATCCGCCTTATGATGACGGATAAAGATGACACCGACGCCCTCCGAGTTGACGAGCGAGAAATCCATATTGAAAACGAGAGACGCATGATTCCTCGTGTTGTACCCCTGAAGGCGTCGAATGACGGAGTCAACTCCATGCGGCGCGTGGTTTCAAACCATGGAAACACGCTCAGGGAGGCTATCGAAGTTATCCCATGTGCTCTTCCTAGCGGCCTAGTCCGCTATGAGACTAAACTTCAACATGCCAGTGCTCAGAATCGACACCTTAACCAGGTCTCAGTCCGGTTAGATTACAGCTCGGTAGTAGCTCTAAGTCTCAACAGCTCGGATATGGCTTATATGTGCCTTGGTCAAGACCTGACTACCGGAGAATGTGTGATGGCCATGGCTCAGAACAATACTTCCTATGTTCAACTGCTAGAGGAGCAAGTGCATCCCATCGGGCCAGGTGCCAATATTGGACCTCGTTTAATCTCGCTCTCTATGAGATATTTGGTGGCCGACATGGTTGCAGCTGAAGCTGGAAAGCGACGTGTCATTCTTATCGATGCCGATCCGCTGCTTATTGAGTGCGTAAAGGAAGTTGCGGCAAGTCATGTAACTTGCTATACCACCACGTATTCAGAGAAAGGTGGCGCGCATGGTCCTTTGTTTCTACACCCACATGTATCAGCTAGGGATATCAAGGGCATGTTCCCACCATCGGGTGCGGTCGTCTTTGACTTGCAATCGCAGGAACGTACCGAGTTATCACAGCAAATTTCAGACTTGCTCCCGAATAACTGCAACTACTACTCTCGTAGCACTCTACTAGGCCCTCAAAACACCTCCCAGGCGAATACCAAACAGGACTACTTCTGGAAGACTGGCTGGAAAGTGGCGGTTATCAGAGCGTTAGGTTCAAATATTACCAACCCGCACAGACGTGTGGACTTCGATGCTGTCCCTCTCTCGGTCCTGCAATCACGCACCGAGATTCCGTCGTCGCTATTCCGCGTCATTGACTGGAGAGCTGATCGTAACGCTGAGCTCACTACTAAGCACTTCATCACGGAGCAACTGTTCCGCGCAGATAGGACGTACGTACTGGTAGGGCTGACCAAAGACTTTGGACAGAGCCTATGCTATCTGCTCCTCAAGTATGGTGCCCGCAACGTTGTCTTGGCGAGTCGCAATCCAAAGACGGATCCCAAGTGGATAGGAGAACTATCGCAATCTTATGATGCTAAGATCGAAGTTCGCAAGTGCGATGTCGCCGACCTCGCAAGTGTGCAGGCATTCAAGGACGGCCTATCCCAGTCCATGCCTCCAGTCGGCGGTGTAGCCAATGGTGCTATGGTTCTTGATGATCGCGTCTTCGCGCAGATGGATGTTGACACGTGGGAACGAGTACTACGTCCCAAAACTGTTGGTTCTCAGAACCTACACACCGTCTTTAACGACCCCAATCTCGAGTTCTTCATAATGACATCGTCCTTCGCCGCCATCGGTGGCCACCCGGGCCAATCTAACTATGCCACGGCCAATATGTACATGAACGGATTGGCAGGTATGAGACGTCATCTTGGGCTTGCGGGCTCAGTGTTGAACATCGGCGTCATTTATGGTCTCGGCTTTCTACAGCGAGAGAAGGAAGAGCTGTATGCCGGCCTAGAACGCGAGGGATATCCGCCAATCTCCGAGCGTGACATCCACCATATGTTCCTCGAGGCCGTCATCACGGGCCGTTCCGGACAGGCGGCTCCAATGGACCTTACGACCGGCCTTCGCCGATTCGATCCTTCTGACCCAAACCCCTTGCATTGGCATCAGGACCCCAGATTCGTCCACTTCACCCGCTCGGAGACTGAGGACGCAGTTGCTGCCACGATAGGCACACGCAAAAGTCTCAAGGATACTATCGCGAACCTCACGGAACTAGATGCCGTCTCTCAGGCTATTCTAGTAGCATTCACGGAGCGATTGCAGACGCTTCTTCAGCTACCCATCGAGGCCATATGTCCGAGTCAGAGTATTTCTGAACTCGGCGTAGACTCGCTCGCCGCCGTCGAGATTCGCGGATGGATCTTCAAGGCAATTGGCAAAGATGTATCAGTGATAAAGCTTCTCGGTGGCACCAGTATCCGGAAACGTAAGTTGAAACCCCATCCACTAACAATTCTCTCTTTCTTTGGCTATTTTTTCCATTTCTTTTGTCTACAGTTTATACGCAACAATATACTAATAGATATAAATAGTATGCGCAGAATTTGCCGAGCAGATTATGGCTGATCGCAGCAACGAATCGGAGAAAAACGTAGTATAAACGAAACCATCCATTTATACTTACCTCACATGACCTTGTTACCTATCTTACACCAAGCACAAATTATGGCGGACATGATTAACATTGGCGGAGTCTTGCATGAAGAATCCCAGTGTGAAGGTTAACAGGGGGAAACAGGTATTATGTCTTATAATTTTTAATATAGGTTGGCGGTATGCGTACGACCGGTGGTCTTGGAAGGAAAATTGTTTGCTATAGACCATAGGGGAGTATTTCAGGTGCATATCCTGAAGACGGCTGTATCATTAATGTAATTTTCTGCTTTTTGCTCTGATCTTATGATTGCATTCGAAAGATAACCTGTGTCCGGAGAAATGTGTTTCGACTGTGAAGGCAGGCAATGGCTTTTCGGCTTTAATAACGACGAAAGAAACTACTGAAAATCATGCTTAGCCGTTTTAACTAAGACAACTGTACTTATTGATATGTACCTAAATATACTAGCTCAATACCTGCTTAGACTCGCTCATAAACTCTCATACCCAGCAGATTCGTTCATATTAAAGTCGCACGTAATAAGGGCTTAAATTTGCCGTGTCGTTTCATCGTCTACGGTAAAATTGCCACGCTCTACACCTTCTCCAACCTCTTAGCCACGGTACCCCAGTTGATGACATTCCAGATGGCATTGAAATATTCGGCCTTGCGATTCTGATATTGTAGGTAGTAGGCGTGTTCCCAAGCGTCAATGCCCAGTAGCGGGACGTAGTTTCCAATGACCGGGTCCTGGTTTGCTTTGGTGATAACCTGTAGGGTACCGGCAGACTTGTCCTTGACCAGCCAAGCCCATCCGCTTCCTTGGATACCTGCTAGGGCTGTGTTAATCTGTTTCTGGAGGGTTTGGAAGGAGCCAAAGTCCTTGTCGATGGCGGACTTTAGAGCACCTTCGGGCTCACCACCGCCTCCCTTATTGTTCGGAGCCAGGTTCTCCCAGAACAGAGTGTGATTCTTGTGTCCGCCGCCGTGGAAGTTAAGCAAAGGAGCAGCGGCGGCTGCTTGGATATCGTCGCCCTTGGCCTTAGCTTCTTCAATAGTCTCCAGCGCGCTGTTTAGGCCGTTGACGTAGGTCTGGTGGTGGCCCTTGTGGTGGAGCTCCATGATCTTGCCGGAGATGTAGGGTTCAAGTGCGCCATAATCGTCTGCGCAGCTAGTATTAGCCAATTGACCTTGCACATAATGAATAAATTGGTATGCCACGTACAAGAGAGGTCGGGCAAGGTTGCCTTGCCTCTGACAAAAGAGGTACTGGCCAACGCGGCAACGCCGGGTTTCATAGAGCTAGCGCGCAAAGCTGCTCGGGCTGAGGGAGCTGCTCGGAATAGTGTCGTCGCCATCTTGAATTGCTCTATTATGTAAGTCCTAAATCCCGCGTGTGGTTTCTAAGCTGTAAAAAATAAAATTTTGTATTTATAGCTTAGGTAGTTAGGAGGAGTTGAAGTTATGTAGATTTTAGTAGAGAGAGAAAAATTGTGAGAGAGAAACAGCCGGAAACTGTTATAGAGATATCTCGGCCCCTGCTACTGCCGGACCGGAAACAATCCAACCATTCATGTTACGATACTACAGCCGGGAATGATGTCAACTACATGTAGGTACCTACTTTTAGTCACTTCTATCAGCTACAAGAGACCGAGGAAGCTACTATGTATGTCCGAGCTGTCAACTGCGGGGCATGGGAGCTATTATATAATTATGCAACAAACAACGAACTTTCAATCAGTATTTCGTCATCTGGAATTACCTACATATGTACTTTCACGTTACATATGGGCACTAGTTTTGCATTTTAAATACGGTGCCACACAGTGTTCACGAACAGTTCGAGTTACATATACATACATACGTGAAGCATGGCCTAAAAGACGCATGGCACGTCAAAAGCGTGTCTTGCCCCACCAACAGCTTTCAATGTTCTATTAAGTACAACTAATAAGTGCATAATCATTTATATTTACAATATTATATGTAGGTTATGTAGCTTATCCAGATCTCCCACCAAGAAGTTGCTAGAGAATGAAGAAGCCTCTTCCATCCACTTCTAAAGGCGTACGCACAACATGTCCTATTACGACATAGACGCGATACTTACCGATGCTGAAGTAAGTCCAAGACAAGACTCAAAGTACCCTATCTGTACCCTCTTTCTTTATTCTACTAACTAACCTCTCCGCAAGAAAGTTCCTTGTAAATTCGAGCTGGAGGTTCCCGAACTCGGTTACCTCGACAACAACCCTTCGCAGCCGCTAAAGACCGGCACCTCGGTCGGCCTGCCGCTATGGCTTGCCGAACCTCTTGCTCTCACGAGTAGGTCGCCAAATAGTTTAGAAGAGGATTCAAGTTCGTTCGTCTCCCTCGACCTCCCTCCTTCGCTATCCAATGAGGTCATGTCTGCCTTAAAAGCCGATCCTCGAGCCGTACCCCTCCGCGACCAATCCCAGAATTTCTACGGCCTCGGAACCCGCATGCTCGACGTTTTCGAAGAGGGGGAGATATGCGCAATCCTCCGGAGGACCTTCGTTACGAGAGCCACTGATATCGCCCTTCACGCTAGGAAAGCTGGCGCTACCGAGGATATGGGCGTCGGCACTGGTGAAGAATTCTTGAGAGGGTTAGAGGAGTGGGAGAGGAAGCTGTTTAGAAAAGCTCATGAGGGTACCAAAGGGACCAAGGAATGGATGGAACGCGTTAAGAAACACTGATGGTCCAACCCGTTTTCTCCAAAGGACGATGACACGGTGGAATATCATCTATGCGAAACTACTGATATGACTGTTACGATATTTGTAACATTGCCATCTTATGGTTAGTATCATGTCAATTGGCTATAGGGAGGCCTAGGTGTTGTGATGTTAGGTAGATTCAATATTAATATTAATTTGATATCCTGATTAATATCATCAAGTACCTATGTACCTACCTCAGGTACCTAGATACTTGCATAAATCAAGTAGGTACATATAGTGCATGCGCTTTAATGCATGTGGCTTATCGATATACTTACCTACACACGTAAAGGTACCTCTTTACGTATGTCCATCAACAATAACTTATATTATGCACCAAGCAACATTTCTTTCAAAAGTTCCCATACAACCGACCCAGTAGTATGTCCTTCGATCCGGGTAGAATATCCAAGGCTGATGCAGCTGCCTATTCGTCTTCATCATCTGACAATGAGGATGAGGATGAATACTTACAGCCTTCTGTCAATCCGCAAGCCGACGAATTCTTCGACCTGAACCCTCGCAAACGAAGACGAACCGGTCGCAACGCCAAGGAAAGCGCCGCCCTGGGAATATTCGGGTCCGATAGCGAAGATGATGGGCCCGGGAAGAGGTGGAAGTCTAAAAAAGATTTGCGCCATAAGAATGTGGCATTCGTTTCCGCTGGTCAGGAAGATCTGAACCAAACTTTAAACGACGAATCTATCGAAGAAGATAATAAAGGCCAGGAGGAAAGTGAAGGTGAAGATGGAGAACAGCTTAACAGCCGGCCTGGCTTAGGTGCCAAGCCGAACCCTTCGCAAACACAAGAAGACAGCGACGAAGATGATGAGGATGAGGATATGACGGGAGTCGGTCTAGGATTCGGCGCCACCTCACATGGACTAGGTTGGGCGCCCCCTGCCATGTCGCAAAGCATTCCCGTCGCTGGCGGGACGCCGAGTAAACCGACAAAATTTAAATCGAAATACGATGGGAGTACACCACTTGGGAAAGGGTTTGTTCCTTCGTCCGCAAACGAACCTGTCCTAAAAGCGAATCTCGACGATGGCCCTTCCTCAGCACCCCAAACTCCTAAGGCGAGTGCCTTCAGTGGTAATAAAGCGAAGTCCTTTGCGGCTCGAATGATGGAGAAGATGGGCTACGTAGAAGGGCAAGGTCTGGGTGCCGAGGGTCAGGGACGAAGTGGCATAATTGAAGCAAACCTGCGTCCACAGGGCGTTGGCCTTGGTGCCGTCAGGGAGAAGTCGGAAAAAGAACGTAAAGAAGAGAAGCGGCAAGCCCGTATGCGAGGAGAGGATGTTGTCGACTCGGATGAAGAAGAAAGAAGGGCGAAGCGTGAGAGGAAGAAGAAAAAGGGCTCAGACAGTGCAGTCGGCAGCGGCGCGAGCACCCCAAGGAAGCCCAAGACGAAATATCTAACTGTTACCGATATTAAGAAGGCCGCGCCAGGACTGCAGATTCCAGACGCCTTTACTCCGATATTAGATCTCACCGGGAGAGATCAAAAGCTACTGACGTCTAGCTCGGGTTTATTAACTCCTAAAGCCGGCACGGAGCTGGCCACGCAGACGGAAGCACATAAACTAGCAAGGCGCGCTCAGGGTGATCTCGCAGCCTTCGTCGAAGAATGGAGAAGTCTAGAGGAACGGAAGGCATGGCTTGCTATGGAGGAAGCTCAGCGCCAACAGGAGCTTAGTGAACTAGAGAGCAACTTTGCAGGGCTTAATGTTTTCTCGGCTGTCTTAGATGGAGTCGGCCAAGCTGCTCATGATAGAGATTGGGACATGGTAATATCTGGGCTTAAGAAAGCCGAGTCTGCAGCGTCGACCCACGGCGACGAAGAACTGGCCGCCCTCGCGGTCTCCGCTATCCATCCTTTCCTAAGGGATGCCACCCAAGGGTGGCAGCCGCTAGAAGATCCAGGCCTGGGCAATTTTGCTTCCGACCTCTCAGATATTCGGGGACTACTAGGCCTCACTAAAACCGCCAATCAGAATACCATCACAAAGTGGCAAGATACCGAAATTGATGGTACATATCGCCATCACGTAAGATCAACAACACCTTGGGAGGCTATGATCTATCAGATACTCTTTCCCAAGCTTGTGACGGCTATTTCCCAGACTTGGGATGTTCATGATGCGCCGCCTCTCCTAGACTTTTTCGAGAAATGGGAACCGCTTCTACCCGAATTCGTCCGTCTACAGCTCATTGAGCAAGTAGTAAGGCGACTCGAAGCTGGAATTAGTAGCTGGAAGCCAAGGAAAAGGCATGAGAACTTGCACATATGGCTATTTCCCTGGCTTCAGCATCTCCCAGTTCATCATTTAGAGCCCAAGGGGACCGGACTAGTAGGAGAGGTGAGGCGTAAGTTTAGGCAGCTAATTGACGCTTGGGACTTTTCCAAGGGCGTGGTGCCTGGTCTCAAGCAGTGGAAAGACGTATTTCGCCCAACCAGGGAACAGGATCAATGGAGGCCTTTGGTTATGCATCACCTCCTCCCAAGTCTCTCCAGATATCTACGAGTTAATTTTCGCGTCGACCCAAGCGACCAAGAACCATACCTCGAAATGCTCAACGGTGTTTTGAAATGGACAGACGTCATCTCTACGTCTCTAGTAGGGGAAGTCATAGTTTCGGAAGTGTTCCCCATGTGGCATGAGATTCTCTACCAGTGGCTCACCAGTGCAGACGCCAATTACGAGGAAATTGGTGCCTGGTTCGAATGGTGGAAGGATCAGGCGATACCTAATGACATCTCATCTCTCCCAAGCGTTTCTGCCGAATTTGAAAAAGGCACTACCATGATCGAGACTGCTCTTGACCTTGGCGCAGATGCGAAAAATCAACTTCCTCGGCCGGACGGGCGCCCTGCGCATCAACCGAAGATCCACTCCCATAAGCCGAAAGCAGACAGGAAACCCGTGCCCATATCCCTACCGCAACAGCCTATAGACAAACCTGAACCTACGTTCCGCGACGAAGTAGAGGATTGGTGTCAAGAGAACGACCTCCAGTTTATTCCGGTCCGGAAAGCTAACGAAGAGGGCAAGCATTACTTCCGTATTACAGCTCGTATGGATGGCAAGGGGGGTGTTTTAGCATACTTCAGAGGCGGCGATACGCTAGTCGTCGAGTCCCGAAAGACCAACTTAGAGTTGAAACGAGATGTTAAGGAAGACTGGGGCCTGTTGCTCGAGCCTCTATATCAGGAAGTAGAGCAGGGGGGGAGGAAGTAAAGACCCGTACGGATTATGAAAGTCCTCCCTAATGAGGTGACAAACAAACAGGATGACACCAACTAGACTATGCGGGTATATATTGCATATCCATGCTGCATGTGAGCTCGAGGAGGAAAGCAGCAAAACATTGATGAACTAGGTACTCAACATAGTGTAACTAGCACATACGTATGTGTATTATTATGTACGTCAAGCGCTTCCTACCTGTGGATGGATACACTACGCCAACGAAGTCCACGGAAGCCACCAGCCTCCAAAACCTCGACTTACCCTTTCTTATGAAGCTTTCCTCGTGGGAAACTTCTACCAACACCATCATCGTTCTTTTCAATATTAAGGTCTAATTTTTCATCCTTACCACTCTTTCGTGCCCTTCCCTTCTCCTCTTCACCAACTACTCATCAGTATCGATCGTTTAATTTCGTAGCAACACCATTCATTTTTAGCTGGCATATATGCTATAAAGCAGACCCTGCCCTGCATACCATCAAATATTCTCTAGGACTAGTCTTTAGCCACTCGGTCTTTATTACTAGAGTTACCATGGTCGGTCTTGGAAAACTAGTACTTTTGGGTTCCGCCATATCAAGCCTTGTTTCGGCACGTTCAATTACCCTGCGAGACGCAGATAACCTCAATCACAACTACAAGCGATATATTGTCACTCTCAGAGATGGATTGGACGCTTCTGCTGTGGAACAACATATACAGCGGGCAGCTAGTATACATGCCAGCAGCAACTCGCCAATGGTAGAAATGGGAAGGCGATGGAACATTGGATCCTGGAATGCCTACTCATGTACCATGGATGGCGACACATTCACCCAGATTAGCAGCGATGACGCTGTAGAGTTGATTGAAGATAATGGCAGAATCTCTCTAATGAAGCACACGGTACAGACAGACGCTCCCTGGGGCTTGGCTGATCTCTCCCATCGGGTAGCGAACAACACGGACTACGTTTACGACTCAATTGCTGGCGAAGGCACATACGCATACATACTCGACACTGGGTTGCTGACTACGCACGAGGAATTTGAGAATCGTGCTTCTTTGGGCTACAATGCTGTAGCTGGTGTGTTCGCAGATGACGTTGGACATGGAACGCATGTGGCGGGTACTATCGCCGGGAAAAAATAGTAATTTCAAGCTACATCGAGTATACAATAGTTATATAATTGCTAACTATCCTATAGTGGCGTCGCCAAAAAAGCAAAGCTCGTTTCGGTCAAAGTCTTTGCGAATGCTATATCCTATACTTCGGATCTTCTCGAAGGATTCCATTGGGCCGTTGGCAACATCACCGCCGAGAATCGTCAGAGTATATCAGTCATCAATATCAGCGCAGGCGGAAATACCATAGAAGCTGTTAATCGAGCAGTTGAAGAAGCATATAAACAAGGCGTGTTAACTGTCGTATCTGCTGGCAATTACGATGAAGATGCTCGAAATATGTCACCAGCATCCGCACCAGCCGCCATCACCGTCGGATCAATTAGAAGAGATCGCAAACGCTCCCATTTCAGCAACTGGGGTGAACTGGTCGATATTTTCTCGCCAGGCGAGCTTATCACGTCTGCGTGGATTAAAACCAATCAGGATAATGCCTCCCTCAGCGGTACAAGCATGGCTGCGCCCCATGTATCTGGCCTCATCTTATATTTGAAGAGTGTTATCCCTTACCGAATGAAAACCCCAGGCGACACTATCGATGTTCTACGGGAGTTGGCGACGGACGGCGTTGTCGGGGATCCTAAAGGCTCCAAGAACCTACTAGCCTTCAATGGCAATGGAGTAGTCATTTTCACGGGCAATTTAACGAAGAGTCTAGCCAATATAGATGGCATGTAGCTTATCAAGCCCTGCGGATGAGTTTATCATGCCATGAAAGACTCGTGAGAGTGCTATAGGGCAGTTAGCTACATCCATTCCTACGCCTAGGAGTCAGTCTTAACGCGCCTTGAGTATGAATAGCACAGTGTTACATATAGAATCATGAATAAGTAACTGTTACCGAAAAACGATTTGTTATAGGGGTCATCAGTATACATTTCATAGTATTCAGTCTCCGGTTGAATAGGCAAATGTGCCTTAATCATGCGCTTAGAACAATCATGCTACCGTTAATGGGATATACCATCGTGGCGTGGGGCATAGGCGCCATCCTCATATCTCTTGCAGCTAACAAAGTTGCCCACCAGTTGAGTTCGACCTCAACACATTGGAGGGTAGGTAATACCATGGCAGCTACAGCAGTGTTAGTAAGAATATATTTGAGTAAGCAGCGTAGGAAGGATCTTAAGAAATATCACCTGGTGGCACGCGTTAAGAGAACAGCAAGATCAAGATATTTCAAGACCTTGTGGAGGCCCGGAAACTAAATACCTGCTCCGGGGGTTTAAGAACTCCCGAACGTAGTCGTTGAGCTTCGGGGTCGACCTTCTCATAAATTTTCATCCTGGTTGATAAGCCTGTTCCTGGGATATTCCACATATCATAACTTAACAAAATCTTATATGTATATGCTATGAAGGCTTTATTTGGACGTACTGATTTAGAATTCTGTATAACATATTTATCTCATAAGGTCTCTAACATAGGTATGAGGTACCACGGACAAGATATGATAAAAGCCCTTGGTTCCCTACAGATAGATATCCTACTATTTTCACGCGTAATAGCCATATAAGTACCTAATAGAGGCCAAGGTGAGTAACATTAGGTGACATAAAGCCTATAAGAATATAAGCAGCCTTGATATGATGTTTATCTCAGTAGCTATCAAGGTATAGGCGTATTTTCTACTCGCTTTATCCGATTATTAGCCTATAGCCTACGATGATGATGCCATGTGTAGGCTTGAATACGTCAACGCAGGAAAGCATCAATTCAAAATTTAGGGATCCCTTTTGTTGTTAAGCGAACGAATTGAATTGTACCACGTCTGATTTGGGAAGGAGATGCAGTGGCTTGATGTCCAGTTGGTCCAATCGGAATATGTTCCCTTGATTTATTGATTCTCAGGGATATTTAAATAAGTGAAAAGAGACTGTGAAAAAACACTTGCTCAGGAATGGGGATGATGGCGTACGGAACCTAGAGGATGTAAGTAGGTAATATATGCTATGCCTACCTAGGTAACATTGAGTTGACTTGAACGTTGCTCGAGGTCTACTCTACGTTTCATTAAGTACCATCGTATATAAAGATATAAATATCAGTAGGTAATAATATAATATCAAGATATGATAGTTGATACCTTTGATCCAATGACAAAATAACGTCCACTGCTATGCTCCAACGGGAGATATTGGCTGAGTATTGGTTCGTAGCGTGCAGTGTAATGAAAGACTACACCATCGTATAATCTGGTTACTATTCAATTCAAACGACAAGTTAGTCTACGGTTTGGGTTAACTAAACTAACTTGTAGCTCTCCTATAGCTCAGATAGAAGTCTACCTATTTAACAGAGCACTACTTGTTCAGCAGGTGGGTATATGTGATCCAAGGTAGTACTTTTCGACCCATCCATCCCTACTTTAACCCTACTAGAGAGCAGTATAGGTCTGTTAAGTGTGACGGCGTAACAGCGTAATACTTCCAAATAAGGGGCACGCAACACGGTATTAGGAACAAGCCAATGGTAGGAATCTTATAAATAAATTCTTTATCTCCTCCTAGAACTTCACTTACGACTCGCGTTGGTATCTATATTATGCCCAGCAACCGACAAAATCTAATTCATCATGCAAAGTTCCTCGATTTTACATCTCTTTATACACACGCCAGTAACCGCAATCTGGCGTCCAACAGAATAAACCCATATACAACTCAACGCCGCAACTTAGAACACAACGTCCAGTAGACGCCTCCATGCAGGCATTGCGGCAAGCTTCTCGCGGAACGCGTTGATCTCGGCCCAGTCAACTTCTCGTCGCCCGGTGTCTACGTCAATTTGGTGTGTACGCAGCCAACCGGTACGCTTCCATAAATAGCCAACAACCCAGAATAGCATCACGACGGGAAGCGCGAGATATTGCTCGAAGAACCCCGCAGCATCGTTGATACCACCTGAAGGGGGGCAAATAGCTACGAATAACTAGAGATAATTTAGTAAGACTTTCACTCTGTGCGGAAAAGGCGGCGCTCACCTGAGCAATCAATACTAATGCAACTAAGATCAATCCGAGCCATGATCCATAGACACCGCCGATAGCTTTGAACGGGATTTCGTCCAGGGTGTGACCATGGTATGCCCAAGCTTTGCGGAATCGAATATGCGCCAGACAGATGGACCCCCAAGTAAAGAGAGCAGCGAGGCCAGACAAAGCCTGTAGCCAAGTGAAAACGTCGGGACCGGCGGCAGCCAAGTTGATATATGCGAGGAGACCGAAAGCGAGAAGAAGACCGACGGAAAATGTAGGGCGCCCACTTCGGTCAACGTATGAGAAAATCTTAGGGGCGTAACCCTGCTGGGCGAGGGCGGTTAAAGTACGACTTCCACCGTAGACACCAGATACGCCGATGGACACAACCGAGACCAGGATAATAAAGTTCATGAAGTGGTTGAATCCGTTGAGGTTGGCATATTGCCCAACTAATACGAAAGGCGACGCTGTAACATCGTTCGAACCGGCGTTGAGTAGATGAGGGTCATCGCTAGGAATTAGAAGACCAACGAAGGTAAGACCAAGAATATAGAATCTGCAATCCGCTATTAGAAAGGTTTGCCAGTAAAAGAGCGACGTGATAGACAGGTTGAGGAACTTACAGAGTGATACGCCAGAAGACCTGTTTGATGGCACTAGGAAGGGCTTTTGCGGGATTGCGCGCTTCAGCAGCAGCAAGACCAACTAGCTCGGTTCCGCTGAAAGAAAAGGCGGCCGTGACGAATACGGCACAGAATCCTCGGAAACCGTGGCGGAATGCACCAGGGTCGTACCAAAGGCGTGCGCCATAGTATTCGTCGTATCGGCTTCCGTTAGGAGCACCTCCGAGGACGCAAACCAGTGAAATGAACATGAAGACGACAGTGGCACTGAGCTTCAAGAGAGAAGCCCAAAACTCTTCCTCGGCGTAACCAAGAGTTCCGAAGATGTTAACTATGATGAGGAAGACGTAGAAGACGGTAATCCAGACACCAGGGCTAACATCATCGTTCCAATAGGAGATCGAGATGGAGCATACAGTGAGTTCTAGCGGAACGACGACGGCCCATTGTAAGACGTAATTCCATCCCATAGCAAAACCCCAGGAAGGGTCAATAAAGCGAGTTGCATACGTATAGAAACCACCAGAGATAGGAAACATAACAGCGAGTTCACCAAGAGCGTAAACTAGAAATGGGGTGTTAATTCAAACGGCCATTTAGAAGAAAGGTATAGAAGTCGCTTTTTAAGTGAATATCTAGGTAGGTACATACCGACATTAAACATCATTATACCGATGATGGAAAAATCGATTAGAAGAGTCGCGGGGCCCTATCAATAACATCGAGGTTAGAGAGTCAAGATTTTTCGTATAAGACAAGAACACCCAAAATAGCCATGTCTCTAAGGATATATTTTAACGACTTACACCTGTGGCTAAGGCACCACCCGATCCGACGAAGAAACCAGCACCGATAGAACCGCCGATAGCAATCATGTGTAGATGTCGCGGTTTCATGCTCCGGTCAAGCTCAACGATTCCGGTACCATAATCACGCTTCTTAAAGGAGTCGAAATTTAGACCATTGCGCGTCGCCCAGTTATCGGATCTTTGGGCGCCCTCTTCCTGTATGAGGTCCGGGCTCGAGTAACTCGGGGGGCCGACATCCTTCTCATCTTTGCTGCCACTGCTGGCAGCAGGTTCGGACGACACCATTTCGGATGACAGAATTCGTTAACAGGCGCGACAGAGAGGATGATGGGAATAGCTGCAATAGCTGTGCTATGGCAAAAGGAATAAGAAGAATAAAAAGGAGGAAGGGGGAAGAAAAGTTAGTCCTGGTATATAATGGGCAACAGGCCAGGGATGCGATCGTATACTATCCAGTTAGGCTCAAGGCCGCTGCTAGAAACAGGAGTCCGAATTGCAGAGGTGAAAGGAGCAAGACAATGTTACAGAAAGTAGAGCTACGAGTGCGCTGGCGGGGGTTATTTATTATAGGTGCTGAATGGTAAAGCCTAGCAGATACAATGCGTGGTGTAGGTATACCTACGACTCTCTTTGTTCTACATTCTACATTCTACATTTTACATACTACATTCTACATACTCTAACATGGATCTTGATAGGACCGGTGGATCTGTAGGCTACGTGCAGAATGGGGGACCCCGGTAAGCTTTTGGTGGCCAAGCAGCTAGAGATACACTACATTAGGTATCTTGCAAGGAGGCAAGGTACGGGTTCGATGCAAGAGATAAACCGCATGAGAGAGGAGGAATAGCCTTTACCGAGGTGGGCAAGTAATTAAGGGATGCAATAATACCTGTTACTACATACCTGATAATGATATCTATGTATTCCGTATAACGAGAGATGAGTTCGATAACCTGATAACCTGGATCTACATAGGGTGTCCTCGAATAAGAAGACTACCTATGTATGTAGAGACCGTTGTTGGGGTCTAATCAAAATCCAGGCCATGGAATACTCTTCGGTGGAAGCAATCTGACGACTCGCGTGATGTGTAGCATCCATCTCGGCCACCCGAACCCAGTCAGCCAAAACTTGCCATGCCCACCACCCCCAAGACAGCTGGGGGCTAAACACGGTTGCGATCATGTTCACCCAGTTGGCTCGTACATACCTATGCAAGAGTGCATGTAGATACCCTGGATACATTAACATACTTCTTATATAGTAGTGTAAAAACACAAACATACATACAAGGTAACTACCAATATACCTAATCTTAGGTGACGCTATTAGCGGGTTCGTAGATCGACGCGTTCTAAGATAAACTTGGTTATGACGATAACTACGTGAAACATAAGGAAATAGTTACATAAATTAAAACTGAGGGGAACTTTTCCTCTAGTCGATTCGAGCTTATCTCCGTTATCAGCTGCTAAGCATTTCTCCCCCTGTCCAAGTCCACATCCCTTGCCTCCGGGCCGAAAAGGATTCTTAGGTTGCACATTTGACATTTGACTGGTGCTCGTTTAAGCATATTAGACCTCAGCTCGGCCTACCCATAAGATATACTAAGATAATTCCAGAAGACTCAGGTATTTCATAAATACCTGCTATGTAGTTATCCGTGAATTCTCGTCAACGGCTTCGCTTCTAGACCTATACTAACGGCTGGATGGTAGCGCTAACACCGTGCTTAAGCTTTGGTTTTGGCTTGTGGAGCTTCCTTATTGACGATAGCTTGGTGAGGTTCTCCAGGTTGCCAAGGACTCGATCGCGGCCGGATCACTCCTAATCTATTCCTAATCTATCTTCTTTGGTTTAAACTTACACGGTACTAATATGTTTACGTTGGCTTGGCGGACAGGCGGGTTTATCTAAAGTTCTGGGGAATGGAGAATATAATTATTCTAAACGATACGCTAGACCTATTGCTGTTCAACCGCCTGGGTTTATCAAACGTCCTTAAGCATAATAGAGGCGGGCTGCCAGGGTACCATGTGAGAACTAGCGAGGGTTTGTTCCAGTTTGCCAGTTTGCCAGTTTGCGCAGATAAGAATTTAAAACATCAAGACTCTGGTTGGTTAAGAAGGGAAAAACCAAGAGCTCATCCATTTCCCAGTTTGCGCTGCGCCACACGATATCTTATGATGTGCCTACTATGTAGGTATGCACTGTTAAGTATTGGACTTGTTGATACGGCCAAGGCTGAGAGACGACATACCTAACCTGCTACCTATGTATGTTATGTGTTGTTATGGGCACATGCAGATATAGTAGGTAGACTAGCCAGTTCAGTTCACTCTCGACACACCGCCCTACATATCTTATTCTCGCTGCTTCATAGCCCCCGCCACAGAAGCTTGACCTTCTCTTCCCGGTATCGTATTAATCGTGCGATATGCGGTAGCTTTTCCGGTGCCCAGGCTCTTGGTAAAGTCTAGGCGCCGACGATGCTGATGGACTAATATCACTTATTTCTGCATTGCATTGGATATTTCTCTGTATGTGCACGTAAATATGCGCATAATAGAGGTCGGACAAAAAAGAAGTGAGACATAGTTGAATAGAGAGAAGGAAAAAAAAAACCTTTTGCAAAAGAGAATTTCTCAAAATCCGCCTCGCCAGCTCGCCTACCCATCAATGCTCCCAATTGGATGACAATAAAGGTATCAGGGAACCATGAGTTGGAGTAGGTAATTCTCCCCTGTGGATTTCTCCAATGATGTCTCGCATCTGTCCGAGTGCTGATCAGTGAGTGCTCACAGCTCCTGCGGAGCGCCGGATCGGTCGATCAGCTGTCTGGACCCCAGATCCTTGAGATAATTCAAATACTAACAAAACGCAGGCGGTTGTAGGTGAAAGAGATTTCAAGATATAAAACGATCATATAAAGTAAAATATACCTTCTAGGTAGAGTCTAGAGAAGCAGACACGTACGGAACGTTTCTAGAAGCATTCGTCTAGATACCTCGACCATATGTATGACGGCCGAACGCATTAGTTCGTACGATACTAACGCAACAGCGTTAAGAGTACCTATTCGGTCAGCGTCAATGACGACGGCGCTTTGGGCTACTCCAAATACATCTAGAGTCACCGAGGAGGGACGTTTTAAGAAGATAAATACCTACGTATATTTATTCAAAGATCATTGCTGTGTACATATAAGGAGCCCTGTATTTTCGTCACTCCTGCCCCGAAACGCACCTTTACATCCGGAACACCGCATTACGTATATATTACTACGCTCTATCACGTCTAATCCTCCAGGGAGAAAGACTCAAACAATGGAAATAGGCGACTAGACAGCTAGACAATAGTAATACTACCTCATATAGTACTACATTAGGTAGTTAATAGGTAACGTAGTATTGTTCCAGAACAATTCGTCAATAAAAATACCTATTAGTCATTGTACATATGTACTGCTCGCCAATCTCACAAGACGCCATTCAGACTGGGTCGGCCACGCGCCAGTATGTGCGAGTCCACTAAAATCTCCAAATAATACAATTGATCCAGCTGCTTCTCGTGCCTCACTCGTGCTCACACATACTCTCATCGACAATCCCGTTCGTTTCTATGATTAGACAAGCAAACCTTGCTCCCCGAATCCCATCCGTTACGATAGGAGAATCCTACCGGAGAGTCATAAGATGCCTAGGTAGTTATCAGTTTTACTATACAGTTTTTGCAGATGCTAGGCGTCCTTTTGTCTCGGTCAACTCCGAGTTAGCCACCCTTAAATAAAGCTCGAATTTGTAGTTTGCCCTTCATACATATTCCTCCCGTGGGGCACGTACATTGGCGCAGTGATCTGGAGTCCGATAATGCGGGAGCATGCCCTAAAAGGGTTCGGTGTGGCTCGCGGGGTGACGACCCTTAATTGCCCCCCTGGTAGGCCCATCTAGGTGCGTATTCCTTGATAGAGAGCAAGGAGAGAGGGGTCCAGTGGGCCTACCGGGATAATCCCTATTGAGGGAGGCAAGGAGGATCCAAGCAAAGGGAACAGATTACAGCCTACGTTTGTATTGGCTGGCTATTTACGTCCCGCTATTTCTCGTACGTAACAATATTAGCGGTTATTGGGCATCACCTTGGATAAAGCTTCGTGGAGTGTGGAGGATGCGGAGAGATACATATACCTACTATAGTACATACCGCTACAACTTCCATGCGACCCAAGCATCGCCGCCAAGAATACAGTTTACATACATACACTATGACATATTACATTAATCCGCCGTATTTAGTGTATCTATGGAGCTGAAAAGCCGGGGTCTGTTACTACTGTTACCATCTATGTACGTATCCTGCAACCAAACGGTTGCGAAGTGAGCAGCAAACATTGCAGATACCATAGTGATATAGCCCACGGACTTGGGATACGTCTGGCTTGTAAGAGCCTCATTTAAAGCGCTTTCAGGGAATAGTAGGCCTTTCGAGGTTTCGATAAGGTTAAAGCCACTCAGCCGCTTCGAATCCTCAAGTCTTGTAATTATACGTACATGGTTACACGACAGTTGCTGCGAACCGACCGCCACTTAGAAGTCTGGAGTCTGGAGTCGGTGATACCTCTTGAATCCTTTCAGCTGGAGCGTATCGATAAAATGGCGACGTAGTGTATCGTCGCACTCAAGGCAAAAAGCAAAAAGGGGATGCCCAAGGAAACTACATCTACACCAGCAAGTTACGTATTCTCGTTCATTTTTTTCAAGTGAGAAGAATACAATTACTATGCATGAAAGTGAGGTAAATTGACAATTAGACGTATTATGATGTGAATCATAGTCAATACATATAAGAACAACCCCGTCTAACGTCGCGGGAGAGTCACTCCTGGCAGCTATATAAGTACTGGAGCCGTCGGCAACCTTCCCCTGCGGGATCAGCCCAAGCCCCATCTTTTCTACGAGCTATTCTACTCGATATAGGCCGCGAGTATAGGAATCAGCGGTCCCCAGAGTTTCACCGCGTCGCTCTGGTGAGATGTAACAAGGGGTCGTTCAGACACACTATCCCGTAACGCCGTTTGTTCGCTTAGCCATCGTCGCCATTCAATATCAACCATAAGCCATCTATGCGAACTATATTAGCAGACATATATATCTAGATCGCGAGAGGTAGGCCTAGGTAAAAACACGAAACGCACTACTTGGAGTGATGATATTCTCGTTGATATAATGATCTGCCGAGGTGGGTTTCTCTATCAAGATGGTCTCGTTGGATGCGACATACTCATCTGGTATTTTATGAGGAACACTTTGGCCCATGTGTACATCGTTCATCCACAAGTCGATCTGTCGCAGTCGTTCTTCGAGCATACAGGATCTCGAGCCGGAGTATTCCTGGCAAGCTCTCATAAGGAACACCTGGTCCCTAGCTCCGCGATTGGATCGCCTTATCTTGGAGCCTACCTCCAGCTCGCTCAGCAAATCTCTAACGAGTTCAAGCTCCATCTTTGACGCCTCAAGTTCCCGCCGAATGTTCTCTTTCGCGAGAGCGAGCCAGTCATAGTTATCTCCGATAGTATCTTCCGTCTCCTTCTCGACGAGTGGTGGCAATTGGGGCTGTCGGCTATACGAGGGCGGGGGCTTGGAAAGATACATTCGGATTCATCGATTAAGGAGCTATCTTGTTAGGTAATTAAGGCGATGTTCTAATGTGGTGGTCTGGATATTTCTTCCGTAGCGGCTATCGTCAATCACGGTTTTCACAAGAAGATCCATATGAAGTGGGTGTATGATGATCTAAGAGCGCCATGTCATCGAATAAAGGGCCTTTGTTCGCATAGGTATAATGCGGATTATTTCTAAACAGGAAACCCAAACCTGGGCGAACCCATACTATACGTAGCTTAACAAAGAAAAGCTTCCCGTTACCTTAGGTACTCATACATTTATCAATACTACGAGTGCGACACGCTATTAACTCCCAGTCAATATAGAGATATAGCTTTCCGGAGGCTCTCTAAACGCAATTCACCGTGACGAAAACGAAAGTACGAGACGTCATCTGAATAGGGGCCGGGGCACTTATAACCTAAGCTACTATACCAATATTTGGGTTCTATGTAAGGGCAAGCCACCTATTTCATCATATCTCTATTGTGCCCCTTGATGCCTGACACAGGAATATTGTGCGAGTTAGGCAATTCATTAGGGCTGGTTTCAATATCAACGGATGTCTCATATTCACTCTGTTAATCCCCCTCCCCCTTGATTAAAGCACTCGATCAAGTAACCGATAATATATACAACCATAAACAGCCATTGTGTCCAGTCACACAATAAAAGTGACCAAAACAAAGGATAAAACGATTTCATCGTAAGTACATTGTCTAGCACCTTTCTTTCCAGCTAAAATGATATATCACAATGATTGTGTTGTAGAAAGGACTTGAAGCCGTTATAACATTCCATTGCCTCCAAGAAATGTGTAGTCAAGATCAGCATCCATCACTCACTTATCAGCCACCTCCGTCACTCGCTAGGTAAGATAATTCGCATTATTACGCCAGAAGTGACCAATCAGTAAATCCCCCAAGGTTGAGAATGTGCGTGAGACATATAGAGTGGTATCATTGCTATGAATGTCAGCATGAGTTTAATCATCGAGTAGTCTTAAGGTTGTGCGCCAAAGCCGCGACAGAGAGTTGTGTCAAGGTTAAGCAGCAACGAGATGTTGTCTTAAACTACGACACCTGCATTACCTGCAAGAGATCTAGGAAGGCTGAGGAAATTTGCCAGCAGATAATATATCGGCAGTCTCCCTTATACTATGCTGTCAGAGATGGAAAATTCATAAGGGAGGACTTCTGGTAGTTTAGGTACCTAAGGTAGGTAAATGACGACCTGGGCTAATCAGAAATATAAGGTTGGCTAGAAATACGATAGGACTACTCTGGACACTTTAATGATATAAACTTTCTGGAAGGTATATTATAGTAGGTGATTGAAGGTGAGGAAGATAGACTAGATCACTTTAATATTACCACTTATTGTCATATATTATAGCATAGACTTTGAGGCTACACTATCTACTTAAGTATTAATTCAATCATGCGTGGGATTCAATAAAGAAATTTAATCAATATAAGGTAACTTCAGTATATCTAAAGAACTTTTTTTAAGCAGGTATCAAAATATTGTTCTCGTTAGTAGTCATCTCTTCGAACCCAAACACCACCTATGCAGATAATTGTATTCCATGATGCGGCCTCAGTAACCATCCAAAGATTTTAACTGCCTCTGCACAAAAGAAAAAAGCAAAAATTTAACCTGAGATTGTAGGCAACATTTTCCCAAGGAGCGAAGGCCCCTTCTTTGTTGCCTTGGAGTGCTTCCCCTCCTGGACAATTCCCTTTGCCTCGCGGGTGCTGCGGCTTAGAGCGATCTCATGCTCCTTTGGCTCATCATAATCGCTCAGGCTACTCCCCGTCGTCATCGACTCCATGGAAGTGCTGCTACCCATTGGTCTATGGTTGCTCCTTGGAATAGGAGCACTTGGTGCGACGCTGACGCGAGGCAGCCTGCGTATACTTCTGCCCAAAACCGACTGTGTGCGAATCAACATGCTATTCCTGTTGCGTCTGGGATGCGGCGATCGTTGTTTCGCAATGATTAGTTCGTATTGTTGCATCATCGTCGGGTGATCGATAATCTCTTCTGCCGTGAAAGTGGTCCGTTCGACACCAAGAGCAGAAGGCATGTTATTGGTATAGTACTTGGCGAGCTCAGCGGCAGGAACTAGTGAACCCCAAATCTCGTAGAAGGGAACCGATCGTATATCAGGAACCTTGAGTGAGTAAGCCTCGAGAATCGTATCCCACGCAGATGATATAATGGCGTGGACGGCCCGAGCAAGATCGGGCTCGACTGACTCGACTGTCAGAGGTATACTAGGCTCTCGTTTAGGTGCTAGGAGGGGAATCCTCGACGCTAAGTGATTATCGCCGAGACCTTTCAAATATAATGGCTCCATCACGAAGGTAGAAGTGAGAAGCGAAATGACCGAACAAAGCACATCCAAGGCCCCATCGGCGAAGGAGGTGTTTATCTTTTCGCTGAACGTAAGGGATATATCGACGTTAGCAGATCCCAACATGCATGATCTGACAAAGATGTCTGACAGCGGGTAGTTCGTGTCCGTGCAATTTAGTTTACACATAGCGTTTCCAACAGCAAACTCGATCATCCCAGTACCCTTGTTTTGGTTTTTATGGTAGATGACGGTACTGAAGCGAATCCAAGATGGCCAGGAAGTAGCTTTTTGTATAATGTCTGAGAGCTGCATGTTTTGTGATATACTGGCAACATGCTGGCTTTGGACATACCGGAAATATTCGTACGGCGTGATTGGAATATCTGGTAATCGTGTTCGAACAGGTAAAATGTTGCCTAAAGGACCAACAACATCCAAGATATTTTGTTTACTCGGAAGGCCGAGGTTTCTCCCATCCACGAGCTGTCCGAAGACGACATCGTCAGTGGCAGAAAGAGTTGAAAGTACAACTGACCAGGCACCCTTAAGGATCGTCTCGAATGATATACCTAAGCTATGTAGTGACCCAGCAGGGATTTGTCGGTGAATGGTCGTATGATTCAAGCTGACTTTCGCAGGCGAGGGCTGTGATATTATTTGCGTCACTGTTGCGCCTTCGAGCAGACTACGCCAGTATTCGCTTGTGCCATTTGATCGCATACGATGAGAAGCTCTAGCCACTTCGCAAAAACCAGGACGTCGGGTGGGCTGATCGCTACAATTATAAAACCAGGCCAAGTCTCGAACTAGCACGGGTAAAGAAAGATCATCATATTGAGCCCTAGAGAGTCGTATAACGAGGACAGAGCTCCTCCCAGCGTCGAAGTAGGAAAACTTGGTGACGGGTTGACTGAAATCAACCAGCTGTGCTTGCTCCCTTTTGACGAGCTTCGTGGTCAGGTTGCTGAGTCTCCAGCTCTGGCACTGGTACCTTAGAAACTCCGGACGGTGCGACCGATAGACGGTCTGGTAAAGTCGGCGACTGTAGCTAGTAAACGAGGTTCTGAGTATGGGATGAGCGTCAGTTAACATAAAGCATGCATCTTGAAGTTTATGCCAGTCTAGAGACCCAGTGATGCTGATCTCTAAGTAATCGATATTGCCACGAGTATGTAACATCCCAGACTCAATGAACATTGCTTGTAGTGATGACGTCTCGGTTACATCCTCAATCAAACTGCTGTCGATTCCAACCCGTGACACAATTTCTTTGCTGGTAGGGGAACTTGGGGGGTTTGATTGTGTCAGTTCAAAGTCTTCTTGAATGACTGCGGGATATATCTCTATAGTAACAACTCCCCTACATATTTCACCTAGGGAGATGTTTCGAAGGATATCGACAATAGAAATACCAACTCCACGCTGTTTGCACTGTTTGATTAGTTCATAGGCCAGAACAATATCACCGCTTAGAGTTAAAAATCCATCGCTGGCTGTAATCGAACCTTCTTCGACGCCGAGTACTTGAGCCCATATAGCCCGCATTCGATGCTCAATTTCAGTTAGGGGGAGAGGCTTGAAACTTGTATCCTGGAGCTCTTGAGGGTTCGAGACTTCTGTTAGCCCGAGAAGTTGCTTCCTGGATAAACCCGCAATTATTCGTTGGAGTTCTATCCTGTTGACTTCCAACGTTGGTGTTAAAGGCATACGCCTAACAGGTATATATGCCGAGGGTACCATATAACTCGGCAAGATCTCTCGGAGCGCCATACTAGCCATCTTCTTAGAAAGGTATAATCTCTCCTTTGTAGTGCGACTGAGGTTAGACAAGCCTTCACCCCTTTTCAATGCATTTTCTCCAAAATCGATAAATGCTGTTAGGATCGGATCCGAGTTGGGGTCGTTGAAGGCAATCACTTCAACCACCACGTCGACACCCCGACCAAGGCATTGCCGAAGCTTTGACTCAATAGCCGAAAGACGGAATTTTTTACCTTCAATCTCTACTTCTCCGCCATCGTCTGAGGAGAACTCAATCCTACCATCTTCGAGATATCGGGCGTAATCTCCAGTCTTGAGTAGGCGACTCCCCGATTTCTCCAGTAGCGACGTTGGACGAGCTGTACTCTTTTCAACCCAGGTCTTGATATCAGGTTCATGGATATCCAAACCGCTAGCAAGTGTGGGCCCCCCTATTATCAGCTCGCCAAGGGCGCCCACTGGCATGAGTCGGTTACTATCTTCGGGGCTCACTATCCAGAAGTTGCCGTAGAATGGGTTACCGAAGCATTGCGAAGCCTTGGAATCAGTCACTTCGGTGGCAGAAAGTGCAAGGGGACCAGCTTCAGGAGAACCATACGCCATCAATACTTTAGCCTTGCCGATCCACGGTGCATAGACATCATCGTCAAGATGCCGTGCCCGAATACAGACGATGGAAAGGTCCGGTAGGCTTTCTGGATCTAATTTCCTTGACAAAGTCGGTGTCAAATATGTCCAATTAACATGCATGCGCCTTACAGCCTTAGAGAAGTTCGATATCCTCTCCGAGGCTGAAGGGATACAGACACAGCCTCCGTTAACCAAGGTGGTGAATATTTCCGAAAGCGCAATATCGACATTATACGAAGAGAGCTGCATGACCCTACTGGACGGGTTGATCAGTAGAGTAGAACCCTGTCCGACACAAGCAGCTGCTAAAGACCCATGGCTATACGAGACGCTCTTGAAGGTCCCGGAAGTCCCGGCGCTGAAGAGAATACACGCCATTTCGTAGGGCGTGGGGCAAAGAAGGTCTATATCAACAGCTTGCGCCGACATGGCTAGGACGGTGTTTTCGTCTACAACGACGACCTTTGCCCCAAGACCATCTACATACCTCCGAGCATCAGCAGAGCTAAGCACAAACTCGGCACTGACTTCCTGCATCGCTCGAGCAATGATCGAGGAGATCTCAACATCAATAGGCACCAAAATTGCGCCAGCGCTAGAGTAGTCAGTATTGGTTTAACATCACAAAATATCAACTTACTAGAGTACCGCTAGCATGGCCACCACAGCCCAGCGACTCTTGTCCATCACCACTGGTACGGGCATCTGCGGCTTCATGCCAGAAGCCAAGAGATGTTTAGCAAGGACTATGGATAAATCATGTAGATCGCCATAAGACAAGTCTCCATCCCACGCACAGATGGCTTGAATTCCCGGATTTATTGAAGCTTGGTGCGCAACTAAGTCGTGAACACGCCCCTTAGGTATGTCAGCTTGAGGTATGCTATTCCATGCCAGGATTTGCTCATGATCGCGCATACTAAACAGGTCAACCTCCTGAACCGTACCAGTTGGTGAGTCGAGGATGGCTTCAATAGCCCTTCCAAATGCACATGCCACGGTGATTGCTTGATCGGAGTTGAGTATGCGGTGTCCAATGTCAACTGTGATGCTCCCGTCGTGGAAGTATACATCGACACCGACATCATACTCTGAGGCTTGCTCGGTCCTGATGTGTCGACACTTCGAACTTGCAGAGGTCTCATGTGAGATGTACTCATATCCGAACGAAAGGTAGGTGTTGAATAAACGGCCACCTCTGATCTGCAGTTCATGCTCAACCCTATTTATGGGCACGTCCTGATGATCGAGTGCTTTTATACGATCCTTTTCCGCGTTCACTAATAGCTGTGTGACGAATTCCTCAGTAGGGATCTCAATCTTGGATACCAGAACAGTTGAAAATGAACCAACAGCATTTCCCAAGTTCCCGATGGAGAAATCTCTACCAACAACGCGATACCCGAAGCAAACGCTGTCTTTTCCGGTATAATTTCGCAACAGTAAAGCCCATGCAACTCTAAGTATAGTAGATATATCTATGCTACACTCACTAGCGAGAGTCTCAAGTCTCTCGCACTGGATGTCAAGATCGATGGACGTAGTCTCCCATTCACTTAGGATAGGAGATTGCGATCTAAGTCTGGGAAATTGGCACGTCTGAACACCCTCTAAATGCTCCTTCCAAAAATCAATACTGGATGAAGCTTTCTTCAAGTATTGCGTATGCTGAGGATAAGATGCTTCGGGTCTGAATGGGGTTAAGTTATGGAAGTAGGCTTGGTCGATTTCTCTGAAGAGAATAGTCATGCTGGCAACCTTAACTTGTAATCAGTTATAGGTAAAAGTTATAAAGGGGTAAGGAACATACGTCGCATACTGCTTGACTAACTTCTAACTTTACGAATGTCTTCCCAGTTACTTGGCATACAATGAGTCTGTGCCAGGGAATACCTTCATTTAATGATAAAGGGGGCAAGTTGTCGATGGATATCATTGCATCTTCCACACTGTCGCTTTCAAGGAAAAGCATGGTAGGTGAATGAGATCTTAAAACTATCTGGTCGTATAGGCCGTTATTCGAGGCGCTTTGAGAGAAGACGGTTCTTAGAGCGGAGTGTTTTAATGTTACTTGAAGCCAAGCAGCACAGATGCGCGAAACGTCAACAGGCCGATCAGACGTCGCGAGGTCGCAAATCATCAACGCCTTAGAACTCCCCGGAACCAGGGCCTGGTTTATAATAATGTCTTGCTGGATGTCTGTTGCGGGATAAATAGCCTCGATGTTGGAAATATCTAGATTGAGGCGTGGTAGGATTGTCGTATTTAATCGGTTAAGCTCCTCATCAGTGATGTTCATATGAAGAACGTCAGATGAAGATAGCCCGGAAACTCCATGCTGTAGCCCTTCTGCAGCTTGGCGGAGTATCTTCTCACAGCCATAAATCCAACTATGTATCTTCTCCTGATGTGCGGAGTTTTTATGATAAAGAAAGCTGACGTTTGTTTCACCTCCTTCGATTGATATTGAAACCTCGACTATGGCGAGACGTCCGACTTCGCTTCCGATATCTAACATATTTGGAACCAGCGTCCCACCCAACGCAGGGAGTTGTTCCAATAGAGTATCTTGACTTCGTACGTTTTGCGTCGTTCCAACGTAAGTAAACATGAGCTCGAGAGGATAGTAGGAGGAAACAAATGAAAGGGCGGAAGTGCTATCTATCATATTCTTAGTAAATTTTAAGGCACCTTTGTCGGTAGCAGTGTGATTTGAGTCCTTGAATCGACTCAGTATAGTTGAAATATTGTCCGATGGAGAAGCATCGATAGCTACCGGGCAGAGCGAGGTGAACCATCCCACAGTCTCTGATACATTTCGCTCCGTACCGAATACGGATCTCTCATTTACTTGGTTCCAAAGAGTCGGTATTGGATGGTCGTGGAAACCCTGCGCAAAGGAAAGGATAATAGCAGCCATGAAAAGGTCTACGGAACCCGTCTGAAGCGCTCGGCAGCTAGCTTCAAGAGCTGAGGTGACATCTGCATTGAGCGTAAATCCGGTAACCAGTGTATTCCCGTACGTGTTAGAGGCGGGATCAATCCCCCAGTATTTATAGTTTCCCATCGGCACGTCAAAAGGGAGTTCCATTCCCCGTATGCGATGTCTATGGTGAAGCGTCCATTCTCTAAAGGAGAGTGTGTGGCCGGATATGAGATATCCCTTGGTGAGTAACCCTTCCAAGTCATCTGCTATGACGCGCCATGACTTTGAATCGACGACAAGATGATGAGCAACCATATAGAGCATCTGGCGGCCGTCGCGGGTGTGGAAATGGTGAGCAGCAAACACGGGGCCTGTCTCGATATCGATCGTCTCTTGGGCGACTATAGCTACTTTTTCAACTTCTGCGTCCGTCGTAACTGTGTGGTGGGCAAAATGGTATGAAGATGAGATATCCGGTTCTATCGACTGACACCAGGAACTTCCGCTACGTCGGAACCGACATCTGAGCATGGAATGATGGCCGACTACAGCCTCTATCGCCGCCGCCACGTCTTCAACACCTATAGCTCGCTTAAGTCGAAATAATATGCTTTGATTGAACCTGTATTCGTTGTTCCTAGCTTCCCGTTGGTAAACGTCGTTACCCAATGAGGTATGGAAATACAAACGCTGCATAGGCGATAGCTCGAAGGTATCGACTGGGATACCGTTCATATTACGCGAATGCGACTTACTTGACGTTGCAAGGGCAGCAAGTTGAGTTAACGAAGTCGCTTGCATGATATCTTCTGTATCAAGACGAATGCCCTGAGATTCGCATTTAGCTGCAAACTTCGTCGCGGCGCTCTCATCGCCACCCAGGCTTGTGAATGACATATTCATGCCTATACCAGTTTGATCCATCTGCAACACCCTACTTGCAGTCTTCTGGAGGCGTCTTTCGATTACACTGGTAGGCTGTCTTAAACTAGCCCTCGAATCGATAGATAAGATTTGGTGATATACCTCATCATTGGCGTTTTGAATCCACGTTTGTAGCTTTCTCCGGTTAATATTACCGGAATCGTCCAAGGGCATCTTTTCTAACACGATCCAGACGCTGGGAATGAGACTCGGCGGTACTTGGGACTCAACTACCTTCCGAATATATGGTAGCTTGATGGTATAATAAGGGTTCTGTAGTTTAACTTCGCAGTCATCTGAGCCGTCCACCACACAGTCTCTCAGGGTGACAAATGCCACAAGCCGGCCCTCAAATGGTCCAGCCTTTGATTTGAGCACAGAAGCCTTCGAGACGTCTCCATGTTGATACAAAATTTGCTCAACTCTAGCAGAACTTCTCTTGGATGGTGTAGGTCTGGGCTGTGGTTGAACGAGAGAGTATCTAGCTGCCGCCTTGGGTGGAATTGCTGGAGGTTGAGAATAGTCTGGTACTTGATATTTATATTTGTCTGGTTGGATCTCTGGCGACTCTGGTTCGGGCGGGCTAATAGTCGTTGATTGAATCGTTCTCTCCGACAGTTTCCGTGGGATAAGCGGCATTATACGCGTCTCAAGCTCGGCGATAGTCTTGCAGTTCATAATATCCCTGGTCTTAATATCTAGACCCGCCTCCATACACTCCGCTCGAAGCTCTCTAGCTTTCCGGCCGTTCCCCCCAAGATCCAGAAACGATTCATCTAGAGGCATAGATCCACCATCAATCCCGAGGATGCTAGTCATAGCGGCACCAAGGCGCTTTTCGACTGAGTCGCCCGTTGACTTCCTCCATTCGGCAGTATCAACTGGGGGCGAATAGTCCGAGACTGAGCTTATAGAATCTTTTCCCGCTAGCTTCGATCCATCCAGAAGCTTCTGAGTGTTACTTGAAACAGAATATACGGAGCTAGAGTCGTCATAGTCCCGTATCAATCCATGAAACGGCTGAGGAAGAGATCTCGCGTCAATGCCCAGAGCATTAGCCACTTCAGATCTTAGAAGCTGCTCGGCGTTATTTTGGTTGTCTGGCTCATTTATAGGAAAGGAAGTGTTGATAAAAAGGTTCTTCTTTTTGAGCGTACTATTTATTCTGTTTGAAAAGCTAACGGGCTTGCTATTTACCCTGTCCGGCTGGGGTTCAGATAGCTCGTCCGATTCCTCGGACGAAGACAGTATCAAGAAGCTTTCTCCTATCCGGTACGCCATCGTTGAATGTGAAGGGAAGCGATATGGGAAGGATACACAGGACAGCGAATGGGTTCCGCTTCCGAAAATGAACTGTTGGCTATAGCAGAGAAAGCATCTTATATTGGGGGTTCACAAAGGCTCGATTAAATCGCAGGTGGTACGACATTGGGATAGGAATAGAGAAGGAAAAGGAGATTAAGAGACAAGACATGGAAATGGAAGGGCATGATATTACTATTTACATACGCTTTAGTGAAGTGGACATTGGATTAGGTATAGGATTCCCCCCAGAGACATGACTGTCGGGATCCGGCAGACTCTCTGCAGGTAGCCATCTTGGCCATGTAAGGAAGATCCTACCTACGATCGACAATTGAAATGCATATATACATGATCCTTTTGCAGTTTGAGGGCTGGGGCTGACGTACTCTTTACACAAGTACGCGTTAATCTAGAAGGATGGAAAAGTGAAAATGGCGTAAGCCGGAATTCCCAGAGAGATAGATATAAAGTCGAGAGGCTCTCTCTAACGCACACGGTATATTGGCTGAGCTAAAAATAAGAACTCATGCCAGATCTAATCCCAGTTAAGTTTAGATTGCAGTACATCTCTTAAGTCTCATAGGCCCAGATCATATTAATAAAGTAACATAAGCTGTAAGCTGGAACTCAGCTTTCTAAAGATCTCCCTTCTAAGGGTCTTCCGGAATCTCCAAGGATTTGATTCCTACTCACGTCACCAATCATCTTCCCTCGGCCGACGCAATGGTTTTCCTTAGGACAAATCCTCAGATCCTTAAAAGACACGCATTGACGGGCACGAATCCTTGATCAACCGTTATTCTCTAGCTTCTAACAACCTCACTATCCGTTATGATCAGCAAATCTACACAAAGCCACGCCGCATTCATAAAGCACCGTGAGGTCATCACCTCAAGAACGAGCCCACGCGCGCCACATAGGTAGTAAATTGGTAGGTATACATGTTGCGATCTACTTGGTCCGTGTCATCCATCTCTGCGCCAATGAATCCATCCAAGCCAACATCAGCTTGACTTACTTCTATGACATTCATCATAAGATTGTTCTATCCATTCTTAAATCCCGACATGGAAAAACAAGGTCCAGCCAACGCGAGCTTGCAGCATCGGCACCCGAAGGATCCTTTATGCTTTCCCACATCTACTGTAGGCATCTACTGTAGGTACGCTCAATAAATTTTATCATGTTGAAACATCATCCATAATCTCGTACCATTCCGGACTACTTACTGTACAGGATAGAAACCCGTAAAACATGCAAAGAGCCATTTCTAGAACCACATATAATACAAACGCGCGTGATAATCCTCGTTGCCATATCCCATTTATCGCGCGGTACAAGTATGACCCGCCACCCCATTGGACCATCATCTTCGCAATATTGATTACGGGGTATCATCCATCTGAGTCATGAGGAACATTGACAAAGCCATCGTATAGAGCCTCATCCGTTTCGGACGCCAGCTCCTAAACAACCACCTCCTCATCGTCAGGGTCTTCAATGCTTGTTCTTCGAGTTGCTTCATGCGTACTCTTAATCTTTTCTCCATCGTCGCCCGTAATCTCACCCGTAACCTCCACCGGACTTTCTGCGGGTACATCGTTATCTTTAACCTTCTGTTTCTCCTTATCCTTTGACCCGAACGGCCAGAGGCTGGTAAAGGCAGACGCCTTTTGATTCTGCGAGGACGGGTGAACAGGAAGTGGCTTTACGATTACTCCACCCTTTTCATTGCTCCCGTCCTTGTCGACCTCAGGCATCGCAAAATCCCCAAATTCTTCATCTTCCTCATCCCCCTTAGCTTGCTCGTCCTTGTCTGAGTCGGAATCGTCCCTACCATCCCCAAATCTTTCTTTACCTCGTCGCAAAGCTCCTCGCCACCAGCTCCCTCTAGATGGTCCCGCACCCCAAGACTCCGCATTGTTATCATCTTCAGCAAGGCCGTCGTCACTTTCGTCATCTACGTCATCCTCCCCGTCGTCCTCAAAAGGGTTTTGGAGGATGCTTTCAGATTCTCTGTCGAGCACGGTCTCGTCGGGTTCCTGATTACCCTCTATCCCTCCTGGCTGGGTCGATGAGCCACCAGAATTCTTCTGGTGCATCGCGAGCCTCGCAGCCAGTTGTAGGCGTGCGCGCGATGGAGGAATGTTTAGTGGCGGCGGTGGTGGAGGTGGAGGTGGAACAGAAGGGGGATCCATTGATGTCGAAGCCGCATTCAATGAATCTGTGTACGCGCGAAACTATTGAACTATCAGTAAATGTGTTTAACTCAATAATATAATCGTTTTTGTACGTATGCTGTTGAGGTGAGATACGTCATAAGAAACCAGAGATAGTCGTATCGCGCCTGGGACAAGTTACCTCGTTATTAACATCCTCTTCATTATCTTCTGCTTCGTCTTCTTCTTCGTCACTTGAGCTGCCGAAGCCGGATCCCGATAACAAGCCAGAGCTTATACTGAAAGGTCCGATGCTGCTTCCGCTGCCATTATCCTGTATTTCCATACTACCCCCAGTGCCATTCAACCCAGCCTCAGCAAGCGCGTTGGAGCCACCACCCTGTGCGCCACCAAGTCCCAGGCTTGACAAGCCCATACCACCTAGACTATTGCCACCCATCTGCGTCCTGTTGCTCATAGCAACTTCGGGCCTAACTCCCCCAAGGATAGCATTGTCCCTCTCTCTTGTTTCTGCGAGGGCTCCCTCAACATACATAATCCAATCCTGGCTCATGACACGATCCAAGACAAGCTCCGAAAGGAGCTCTGGTGGATTCCGTTCCGCGAATTTTACCACCTCTTCAGCAATAAGCGTCAGATGACCCATATAACCCATCCGGGTCTTATTTCGAGCTTGGGACTGCTCGCTGGATTTTTGGCCGTTAATGATAGCGTTGGTAATATCAGCGGCTTCGAATAATGAGATTGCTAGAGTAGGGTTATAGCCACGATCCATAGGGCCATTGAATACTTGCTGGACGATGTCGTAAACAACGTTATGGAGAAAGTTATTCCAGGGATATTTGAAAAAGAAGGACTGTCTCAAATTAGCTTCCCAGAATGAATAAAATCATTTAAGATCACTCACTAGTATCGTTGGCACAACCTCATGTTCCACAAATTGCATTTTGAGGTAATCGCCGACAACTGGCTCAAGACGCTGTTCTATATTTCCAGATAAATCCAACTCGGGTTGATGAGCTTGAACAGTGGGGATGCTGCCCGCACTTTCGGGTTCTGGTTGTAAAGGTTCGCGAGGAACTACACTCGGCTCGTTTTCTATAGGCGCCTCGTTCACAACAGACTTCTCTCCTGTCTGAACTACCGAGGTAGTAGGATTTTCTGTGGCCTCGGGTTTGCTTCCAGGAGACTCTTTGGGCACATCTTGTAACTGTGGTGTCTGAACGTCAACTGGCATAGAAGGTCCATCGCCATGCTTTTGATCTGGTGCCTTTGCCTGGTGCTGCTCAGTGCTCGGTTGGGACACCTGTGACGGCTGCGGATTGGCTGTGGGAACATCACTCTGTTCTTGCACTGGCTTCTGAGTAGCGATCGGTTTCTTCGGGGAGAGAGGCGCAACCATGAGCTCAGGATTTTCGAATTGTTGCTCATTGAGTTTACCATCATGGACGTTTAGCCTTGGAGAGCTAAGAGGCTCTTCCACGAAATCGTCATCTTCTCTATCGAGAAATGACGAGACTTGTCCGGTAGGAATTTCGTCCTCGGCCTTGACAAATTCATGCGATGTATCCTCAGTCATTTCACCTAATGGAGTAACTTCCTCAAATCCGTCATCATCGGAAGCGTTTGTGATCTCTAAGCGGCGAGCATCATCTGGAGAGGAGTGGCGCATCCTCATAGTCAGATCCTCCGACGATTGCATCTCCTCGCCACGATTTGTTACAAGTCGGCCCTCGACTCGTAGTCGCTGGCGTTCTTCGTCTCGAAGCGCGATTACTTGCTCCGAACCAACTTCGTTGAGCAGCGCCATGTTGCTACAATGGAGGAGTTCGGCCATGAGCTCACAGGTCTTGAACCGATCAAAACCGAGAGGCTCGATCTTCTCTCCAAAGGTAGAATCTAACTGCTGCCTTTGGGAAGAGGCCGGGGCATTGAGAATTTTTGTCATAAAGGCAGGGACGTGGTCGGCGAAGAGCCGAAGCAAAGTACCTAGATAGATAGGGTCGCGACTAGAGGGCAAGGCATTTGAATCGGGACCAACATCCGGATCATAATCAGAATTGTTCTTGCGAATGACCTCAATGACAATTCCAACGCCAACAGTAAGGGGATTCCCACCGTCAAGCATGTATCCAATTAGCTTCTGGACACAAGGCTTGGACACTAGCTGGCGTGTAAGCTCATTCGGACCGATGCAGGCCTGCTCGTTCTGCGAGGCATTGGCGGAGACAGTGATGATAGCCTTGATGAAGTCGCCGGCAGATGTCTGCGTAGCGGGACTGTGCTCCGGCCCAAGGAATGAGAGCAACGTTGGCATGACATCTTTGCCGTAAAGCCACTAATTCCAGAGAATTCATATTAGCAATACCGTGAGCTGATTGACCGACCGGTCTCTTTGGATATCTGAACACACCTCAACTATACCTTGGCCGTTCTCTATTCTCTCAAGGCTAATGATCTTAAGCAGGAGATCCATTATCATAGGACAGTCAACGTGACGTAGCATGTTGGGGACCGCATCGTCGAGAGACTTTAAGAGATCCAACATTTCCTCCGTCTTCTTATCGAACAAGGCCTCGTTAACCTTAGTAAAATAACTCGCCTGAAGAGGATCTAAGGGAGACGGATTTTTGAGGAAATTCCAAAAGTTGCGTAGAAGTTGGTGGCTTTCCATCAGAGCTTCATAGATGGACCAATTATCGGAGGACAGGACTTCGGCGGCAACATAAGCATATCTGTTCCTCTTCTTCTCAGCCTCATCCTCCTCAGCTCCATCACTAGTTGTTCTCGATGAGGCACGCGGGCGGCCGAAAGATAGGGCCCTAGACTTGCCCTTCTTTTCATCCTCGTTGGCTTCCTCTTCGGGGGCTTCTACAGGTTCAAGCTTCGGTGTGATAACATATTCCAGGAGCTTCTCGAGTACCTTAGACTCGCGTAAATACTCAATGAGCTTGGTATTGTGCTGTTTCAGCTCCTGGATTAGGTCGCTCTCATCAAGCAAATCTTCGAGTTGGAAGTCAGGCTTATCGAGAATGGTATCGATAGTCGAGATGTTGGCGTAACCGCCAAATCTCCAGAACATGTCGATTCGTAATGGGGGCGACGCCCTATGTCACTGCGCCGGCAGGGCTGCACCGGCACCGGACAGGGAAGAGTAGAGGTACGCGTGTCGAAATGAATGCGAGTGCAGATAAACGGCGGGTACAGGGAGTGGGATTCGGCATACGAAAGCCTGTCCTTTACCCGGGTCTGGTCGGATCGGATCCAAGTTTGGTGGCGCGCGGGGGGGGAAATAAGGGCGAAATGAATTGTGATATCGTCACCGGTACAGGTTATGTGGGTTTCCCACGTGCGGTCAGGCAGGAAATTTCTCGATTATATTTTTTTTCCGACGGTCGGTTCTATCCGTCGATGTGGAATGGGATTGTCGGGTTTTGGTCCGGTACTTTTTATTTGCACCTTGGAACCCCCTAAACTACATAAGCCAATTGCAAAATACTGCGAATCCAGATTTTGATGTCTGTATGCCAAAGGCAAGATACAGATGCGAATAGAAAATAAAGATATGATCAGGCAGCGATTGTGGATTCGGGCGTTTGTTGTTTAGCTAAATAAGGTAAGGAGTCATGTATTGGTGTTGGATTTATTGAGTCCACCCCGTCTTAATCCGCCGCTGGAGTCTAAGTGATAAAGGGGAATGGCTTGGCGGAGAGGGGAATGGCCGAGCAAAGTACCTAGTCAGTTAAAATAAAATAAAAAGTCAAGTGGCTAGATGGAGAGATAGAAACCACAACTTGTTTAAAAATATGAAGGATATGGGAAGAAGGTGAAAGGGGTGAAGTAGAAGATCAAGCTATACTTACTGCTAGATAGGTAAAAATGGGGTTGAAATATGTATGTATGTAGCATGTAAGTTTGGAGGTTCCAAGGTTATAAGAAAGAAGTGTTAGCCCGATAAATCTCGAATTTCCCACTTCTTGGGTCTTGGCCGGGGAATTTGAACTGTGGAGGCCAGGCGTGCCTGTTTCAATGTTCGATGCGGTACATGTTATTACATGTTAGTCACCCGTACTTGCATGTTTTTACACCAGGTACCGTACATCGAGGTAGTACAAGTTGAGGTACGTGCACTTAAGCACATCACTAAAACACTTGCAGCTACATACCTAATGTACCTATGTACTATACGCATACCGGGGCGCAGCAATCTCAGTCTCACACTGTACCTAACCTTAGGTAGGTACCTACCGAAAGTTGGGCAACCCCCACAGGTACATACTACCTACCTGGTGTATCTGGCAGTTTAGCAGGTACAAAATACAGTATGCTTTACTCTGTATTTTCACTGTATCCCACTCATGAGCTTAGATACCTCCCTAGCTGCCTAGCTACGTAGGTAGCTAGGCTTATACAACAATCTTGAAAAACATACATCCCTTTTCTAAATAAAAGGGGGTGAGTTATACCACACAGTTCGAACTGAGCTTCATGAAACATTAGATTAGGTACTCAACTTTTTACGTACGTAAGGGCAGTATAAGAAACATGAGAAACATGAGAAATGAGAAATATAAGAATAGACTAGCTCAATGCTAGATCGTATATTCAAGTCTCTTCTCGGTATGCAATGATAGGGTATCTATTTTCTTCCATATCTACGGTGCTGTCGCGACCATTGATCAGCCTGAACGATGCAATAGCACCACAGAAGATGACGCCAACCTTGGACTTAACAACGCCAACAAATCTCGTTACTTCTTTCCTTCATCAAAGTTCGCCCTTCCTCCCTACCAGCCCGCCCGCCCCGTTCTTTAATCTCCCAGATTCGTAGGGTAGGGTTAAAGCTTGTTTCTAGTCATCTTCCCGTACCGCCTCGAAGAACGGCTTGTTTGCAGTGTCTGCGGTTTTCTGCGGCAACAATATCCGAGGCAGCATCTGAAGATACGTGCCCCAATCTTTGGCTTCGAGACCTCGTTACTCCGACCATAAAAGCTCTTAAGCTTTCACGGAAGCTAAGATCGCCAAAGTGACGCCAGAACGACACAACTTTTCATGTCCTATCGCATGCCGTGTTGGTGGTTTCAGTTGGCAAAAATTCTCAACTTGCAGTCCACACATCCAGTTGCAATAACACACCGGGTTTGAACATCAGCAACAGCCGCCGCTTTTGCAATGCCATTTAAAGACATGCCATTTAGGCCTTCGCCTGACCCGTTCGTTACGGGCTCGCGTATAATGCCCGGGGCCCACCTCAAACAGGAGACAAAGTGACCATGCGCGTCTACGAGCGTCTTCACATTTTTCCCTTCCTGAGACAAATCCCAGCACCGCAACGTCTTGTCATCGGAGACGCTGAGGAGGTATTTACCACCCGGGTGAAACACCAATGCTCTTACCCAGTTATCGTGTCCAAGGAGGGTCTTAATACAGTTGCCTCTCGCATCCCAGATACGTATCGACTTGTCTCGAGAACCTGTCGCCATAAACTCCGCAGTGCTCGATGCTGGCGGCGGCTTTTTTAACCCTGCAAGTGGTGCAAGATATTGGTAAGTTGATGGGGGGGCGAGAGTGCAACACTCGACTGTGTGTTCATGGCCGATGAGTGTCAGCTTGCTTTCAGGGTTAGCAAGCGAAATATCCCAGAGGCGAGCAGTCTGATCATTGCCGGCAGATAGAAGATAACGGCCATCTAGCGACGGGCAAACATCTCTGACCCAGTCTGCATGACCTCGTATCGTTTTGACGCAATAGCCCGTCGTTACGTCCCATAAACGTAACGTCTTATCCCTAGAAGCAGATACGAGAAGGTTGCTAGAACTTGGCGCACCCGCTGCACCTGACGGGATGAAGCGAACGGCGCTAACGCTATGGTCATGTCCAGGTAGAGTTCTAATATTCTTGTATTCATCGGAAGGATCCCACAGCTTGATAGTCAGGTCACTCGAGCACGATGCCAGAAGGGTTCCACCCCTGGGACCACCGAAATCCACGTCCAGCACTGCTTTCGTATGCCCCTTGATTGTACGCTCCTGTTCTCCCAGCTCCCAATCCCAAATTTTTATCGTATAATCCTCGGAGCCCGTGGCTAAAGAAGAGAAGACGGGATGGAAGGCGACGCAGGTAATAGGGCCCCTATGGGATTCCAGGGTATGACGTGGCGGAGACCGAGGGAGCCAACTGGACGGGTCCTGGTTCCGCTTGGACAAAGAGGTAGGTGTTGCATTATCCAACTCCGACTGTAGAGTAGCCGTTTTCGACTCTAGTTCCATAATCTAATATCGACGCCACATATGTTAGTAGAGGGCAGCAGCATATAAAAGGGGACTTCATCTCCCATACCTTCTTCTGTAATCGCACAACACTAGTCCATTTCTTTTCTAAGAGACCCTCATATTTCTTAGAAGTAGTAGTATCGAACGTGTCACCAAGGTTCAGCTCCTCTCTTAGGGCAGCTGCCGTGTTAGGCAGGTTATTCGATGATAGGTACGCAATAATGGCCTTGTGTCTAGGGTATAAGTTAGCATCATCTGTTATCTCATTGTTCTCTAAGTAGCGGGGGAAGACGTGAGACGGAAAACGTACAGCTCTTCAGCTTGTCGAGGGGTCAGAATTTGGCTCATTTTGTCCAGTTCACCGCACTAGGCTGCTCATGGACGTAGTAATGTAAAAGTATGAAGATCCTATGCTTTAGAGAGGTTTCGGGCGGTTAATATAACGTCAGAAGGCTACGAGTAGCTCTCAAGAGAGCGAGGAGGCAACAAAGAGAGTCGTTGCCCGCACACAATGTGTCAGTCTCAGAAAGTAGCCACACACACAAGGAAATGTAGACAACAATAATGTGTCACCAAAGCCTTGTTTATGCTTGTTACCAGGGAACAAGAGACGTCGGAAAGGCTTCTTAGGCGAAATCGAACGAAGCTTTGTACCAAAAGTAAAAACGACACGAGGACCAAACAGTGGACGAACTGCTGGCAAACCCGCGAGGGAGAACCAGTAGGGAAGTCAACCAAGCAGAGTATAGCGTAGGTAAAAGGCGATATAAGTATTGACGTAGGTGTAGAAGTAAGTAGGTCGCTTGGCGGGTTGGAGGGTTGGCGGATCGAAAGGTTTAATAAGAAGTCATAGGCCGAGACTTGCTTGGATCATAATTTAGGGTTGCGCCGGAGAGAAGAGATATAATTGAAGCTGTCGCCAAGAATGCGTAAAAGGGAGGAAATCCAGATTCAATCAGATAGATACGTTCGTATACGTTCGGGGCAACATGTCGGAATGGTAAAGAGGGAAAAGGCGCGGTCGTCAATTTGTCGCTTCTAAGACCTTTTGATGGGAGAGGGAAAAATTAGGAAAGACAACAATCCTAGATATTGACTTGTTTCTTGAGGTGTTCCGGCAATGCGTTAACTAGGTACCATTACTACCTTTAGGTAACATAAAAACACCAATACTTCTTTTTGGGTAGTTATGAGGTACATTCTAAGGAAGTGTAGGGAAGCATGCCCATTGGAGATGGAGACCCGACAAGACATGTGAAGCCACATGGCTTTGCCCGGCCTCCCGGGAAACAGAGGAGCACAAGCCACACCCCTCGATCTGTACATAGGTGCAGGCCTACACTTAGGTACCTCTTAAGAGCGCAAGTGCTAGTGCGCCGTACCTACCTATGTATGTATGGATAGGACATAAAATCTACATCGATAACATCGCTTAAAGATACCTCATAATCAACATTCGTAAACACTCAACTTTTAGAAACGAAACAATTGGACATTACGACTAAATAAAGTAATTACTAGGGTATGACTTATATCATCTGAACATCGGCACCAAAACGAGCCAATTCACATGGGTAGTAATAAAATATACTTACGTGTACGGATTAGGTATGTATGCAAATAAATACAAGTACCTACAAATTGGTTGCCCCGATGACAACCCTAGCCCGCGCTACAGTACGTCAACAGGTCAAGCGCGGTAACCCCAGTATTTATTTTTGAATCCGGCCAATAAACTATCCGACAATACCGGGTAGATACATAGATGTACCTACTTATATACATAACCTAAGACATCGATTATACATATGTAGAATAATAATAAATCGGCAAGCAACAACCTTCCATCGTCATCGTCAACTTCAAAGACGCATGTCCCAATTTTGCGCCCTACAGCATTCGAAATTCCACGCTCTACGGTCTAACCCTTCCAATATACCTCTCTCGATAAAGAATAAGAGGGTCAAACTTCAAACAAAGCAAGCGCCACCTTCGTCGTTACGTACCTCATACCCGATACCCGATATACTGTGTATCGCCTCAACAAAACATACATTTTTTTAAGATTGCTCCCCGCAAAATCATCCAAGCCTTTGAAGTTTCCACAAGGTGAACCGTGGGAAAGAGTAAACATAGAGCATAATATATTGATTGGCTTAACTCTAAAGCTTATCCCATGAAAACAATGTATGTGTAATATTTCTGCCTCTTTGTCATAACCTTCTTATTCCCCTGGCCCATGACCCGAGGCCTACAAATTCTCTACGTCTCTGTATAAGGCATCCACACACTCCTTTTTGCATATACCCTACCAACTCCCAAGCGCGTCAACTACTACAATAGCAGCAGTAAAGCCATTTTTTAACAGCTGCTTCCGCGAGGAACTTGAAGCCTGAGGTGAGGAACGGGGGGGCCAGGGACGGAAGCACGGTGGACGAGAAACGGGGAATAAGAGATGAGGAAGACGCATTGATCTTCTTAACTCCATCCTAAACTCTTTGTCTCATCACGCTTCTCGCAACCTCTACACTCAAAATGCGTCTTCGCCTCCCTAAGGTGCCAGTTCTACCGAAACTAATCAAGAGAATAGCCTCGACTTTATCGCATCGTCGCGCCCAAAGGAAGTCGACTCAACCCGCCCCTAATCGCAAAGCACATAACACCCCGGTATCGCCGACGGTCGATCGTAACTGTCCAGTCGTGAATATGGCAGACGGGGAGCCCGACTACAGCTCTCTTCCGTTAACAGATAGATGGGTACACAAGGTGCGTGCCATCATCATATATTCCCGTTCCCCCTTATTCCGGCTTTGGTGCTAAAACAATATTGGATGAACAGGTTTGGAAAGTTCGTAAGCAGGCATACGAAGAGGCCGCAAAGCAATTTGAGATCACTCCCGACGAATACGATCCCGCTTTTCGGCCATTTAACCAAGATCCGAGTCTGTGGAAGGGTGCGGTCGCAGATTCTAACGTTGCCGCGCAGTCCGACGGTATTGCAGCATTCTGCGCGTTTCTCAAATTTGGTGGTAAGGAATGTTGCGTTCGCTCGCGTGGTCATGTTGTCACTCCCATCGTCGAGAAGGGCCTTGTGTCCACAAGACCTGCCACCAAAGCCTCCTCACTCGAGGCTCTACTACTTCTTATCGAACTCGATGCCGCCGGTCCCGTTGTCGAAGATATCCTCCCAGCCGTATCTGCGAAGCAACCCAAAGTCATCGCAGCTGCTTTAGCAGCCCTGACGACCATCTTCCACAGCTACGGCTGCAAGATTGCCGACCCAAAGCCAGTCCTTAAGATCCTCCCTAAAGCATTTGGACATGCGGACAAGAATGTGCGGGCCGAAGCAACCAATCTAGCCGTTGAATTTTACCGATGGCTGAGGGACGCGATGAAACCTATGTTCTGGGGTGACTTAAAGCCGACACAACAGTCTGATCTGGAAGCCCAGTTTGAAAAGATTAAATCAGAGCCGCCGCCAAAACAGGAACGCCTTCTACGAACTCAACAGGCAGCCTTGGCTCGTGCTCCACCCCCCGGGGCTGAAGAAGATGTGGACGACGACGATGGAATCGATGAACCAGCCGAAGTTGATGCCTTCGACCTCGCGGAACCCCAAGACGTCTTATCTAAAGTTCCAGCTAATTTTCACGATAATCTCGCGTCTTCGAAGTGGAAGGACCGTAAAGAGGCTCTTGAGGCGCTCTTTGCCGTACTCAATGTACCAAGAATCAAAGATGGCGACTTCAACGAGATCAACCGTGGCTTAGCAAAGTGCATGAAAGATGCCAATATTGCCGTCGTTACTCAAGCGGCCCAATGTATCGAAGTACTCGCCAAGGGACTTCGAAAAGGTTATGGTAAATACCGATCAATCGTCATGACGCCAATCATGGAGCGTTTAAAGGAGAAAAAGCAAACCGTTGCGGACGCGTTAGGGGCCGCGCTGGACCAAGTCTTTCTAGCGACAAGCTTGTCTGACTGTTTGGAGGAAATCCTCTCCTTTCTCCCCCACAAGAATCCTCAAGTAAAGGAGGGAAGCATGAAGTTTCTTGTCCGCTGTCTTAGAACAACCCGGGATCCCCCGAACAAGCAAGAAGTCGCCAGTATTGTAGAAGCCGCGAAGAAGCTACTCGCTGAGAGCAGCGAAGGGTTGAGGTCCGGTGGTGCCGAGGTTCTAGGTACAGTTATGAAGATTATTGGTGAACGTGCCATGAACCCTCACCTAGAGGGCCTAGACGATATACGAAAAACTAAAATCAAGGAGTATTTCGAGAAAGCCGAGGTTAAAGCCAAAGACAAGCCGAAACCAGCCCCAGCTCCGGCAGCACGGGGTCCGCCCGGTGGTCCAAAGAAGGTGGGTGGCGGTGCCAAAAAGACCGCCGGGGCCGCCAAGAAAGCCGCGCCGGTCGCACAAGAGCCCGCTTCCCTTGCGCCACAACCGACATCTCGAGCCGCCCCAGGCAGTAAGCTTGGAATGCCCAAGTCTTCAGGGTTGTCCGGGTTAAAAGCACCGCAGAGACGCCTCGGCGCCCCCGGTATCGCGTCCCCCCGAAGAGCGCCAGCCGCTGCTGCCCCTCCGCCAGAGGAAGAAGAAGAAGAGGAGACCCCGTCATCACCGCCACAGCCAAAAGCTCGAGTCGGGCTCGGAAGAGGTGGTCTTGCAGCACGGTCGTTAGCGAAACCTACGGCGCCCGCCGTAACACCTTTGGCGCCCTCACCACCTCCATCAAGTGGGCTTACAGCCATAGAGCGTGCTGAACTAGAGGAACTACGCTCGGCAAACGAACGACTCACTAAGCAAGTAGATGAGATGCGACATGAGCGAAGCAAGCTTATGTCGGAGGTGCAAGAGCTCAAAAACCACAACGCCGGGCTTATCGAGGACCACACGAGAGATGTACTTAGCATCAAAGCCAAAGAGACTCAATTAGTGCGGGCGAGGAGTGACGCAGAAGCAGCCGAGCAGACAAATGAAAGACTCCGGCGTGAGCTCGAACGTCTCAAGCGTGCACTCAGTAGGGCGGAGGGGCTTGGCGTTTCTAGTGGCATTGGAAGTCCGGGAATGACGAGTCCTACTCCCGATGACATGGGCATCTACCGTGATGGCGCAAACTACCCGGGAGCTAGGACGAGCAGAATGAGCTTCGCCAGCACATTTTCCGAAGAGAAAGAAAACGGCGATGCACCACATAACTACCCTAGGAGCAAGTTAAGTCCAGAGTTGAGATATGGCAGTGGTTCAAGTGGAAGGGGGAGCCCTGCCCGCGGCTTTAGGAGCGCAGCAATAGACGAAGGGGTCGGACACAACACCGGGTCTGCCGCGAGTTCGATGGCCGGCGGAACCGGTAGTAATGGGGCCGAGAATTGGAAGAGAGCAGCAGAAGTCACGAGTCAACTCAAAGCAAGAATAGAGCAGATGAAGGTACGCTAGAGAACCATCCCGTCGCTTAATATGAGGAGTAGTAACTAACCAATCGCAGGCGAAGCAGGGGTTCAGCCGATCGTGAAGTAGGGCTTGTTCAAGTGTCTTGTCATCAGGAAATGGCGTTTGTTAGGAGACGAGTCCAAAAGAGGGATCAGGAGTGCGTCATCGGGTGCATTTTCCTGGCGTCGGATTACATACCCCAGTCTATTTTCGTTCGCTACTAAAGCGTTCAGAAATGTCATGAAAATTATGTTTAGACTCGATTACCTCGTCATTAAAATAAGGGTGCATCTATACGGATTGAAGGGGGGGGGAAGGAGGGGGGGTTCATTCAACCCTATTAGATTTTAATACGGGATGTGGTTTAATATCTTTCACCGCCCCATTTCCCAAGTAGTTTGTGTGTCTATTAATGGTATAGACGGGCTGTGGAGTTATACCCGCGCTGTTCACACGCAACATGTAGAAATAGAGATGGTGTTGTGGCCAGTAAGATATACCGAATCATAAATTGTTATATTATTTAACTACCTAGCCTCAACTACCTAGGTACAGATGCCATTGATATTGATAGGCTAATCCTTGATTTTCAGGACGGCCTTGCCAAAATTATCGCCTTTGAGCATTCCCACGAACCCTTCAGCCGCCTTGTCGATACCCTCGATGACGTGAAGCTTGGCCTTGAAAGATCCGTCTGCAATCCATTTTTGAACTACCTGCTGATGTTCTTCGAAGTATGCAGGCCCGAATTCGGGTTGTCCAACAAGGAAACCTTGCATCGTTATAAGCTTTGCAACGAGCTGGAAGAGATTCTTGACGCCATATCTTTGGTCAGGTGGCAAGTTGTACTCCGAGATCTACTTGTTCGTTAGCACAGGCAGGCTATTAAATTGAAAGGGTAAGAAAGGGAAGACGATACCATTCCGCAAACTGGAATTCGTCCGAGGGTATTCATGCTCTCCAAAGCAGCATCGAGCTGATCTCCACCAACGTTCTCGAAGTAGATATCAATTCCGTTGGGTGCGAGGCGCTTGAGCGCATCAAATGCGCTTTCCTTCTTGTAGTTGAAACCACCGTCGAATCCAAGCTCATTTAGGATATAATCTAGCTTCTCATCGGAGCCAACTGAGCCAATGACTTTAAGTCCTTCATTCTTCGCGACTAGACCGACGACCTGCCCAACAGCACCAGCAGCTGAACTAACAAATATCGTTTCTCCCTTCTTTGGTTTTCCAATCTTATGAAGACCCGAATAGGCCGTTAAGCCAGGCATACCTAAGGGGCCTAGAAACATGCCAAGATCGAGATTATGCGGGTTGTTGATCTTGCGCACCTTGGCAGCGGAAATATCAGGTACTATGGCGTACTCGGCAATAGGAAGAAATGCAGATACGATATCTCCTTTGCTGAAACCCGGCGCGTCCGACTTTAGAACTCGAGCAATAGTGCCATTTGAGAATGGACCGTTAATTTCGAAAGGCGGCGAGTAAGACTTGACATCAGCATTACGCATTCTACCGCGAAGATAGGGGTCAAAGGAAGCATAGAGTATCTCGACGATCAGGCCGCCTTTTGGAGGGGCCGCATCGAGGTCAATGGGCCGTTCCTCAACGGCGAGATGCTCCCCTGGAACCGGAAAACCAGTAGGGACCTTTTTGAAGACGAGAGTCTTATTCGGTACCATTTTTGAATCACGCGAAGTCGACTACCCCTCAGATTTTAACCGTAGTAGGATATGGGCTGACGTCTGGTGAGAGACGAAATAAATTTATACTCGTTTAAATATATGGTGTTTATTTCCTGGGTGTGAAGAGGTATGAAGAGGTGTGAAGAAAGTTTATGTATACGATGTAGTCGAAAATGTTAAAGGGGGATGACGTCTTGATTCGGTTATGGCTAACTACTAAACGGGTCTACCCCCGATGCTACGACTTGGATTTATATCATAGACGTAAACGGAATTCATATTTTTCGACGGGTATCTATGGATCATTGGGTTTTAACCTAGGTCATGAGCTCGTGAGGTCCCACATGCCTAGGTAAAATTCTAGGCAAATTAGTAGGTATTTACAATCCCGATACGGAGTTCATGGCCGTGTTGATTTATAATACGACCCAAAAAATACTACACTACAATACCTTGGTAGGTAACCTGACATACATATGTATGGAAGTATAATACGTATGGATAGATAGGTATGTAGATAGATATGTGGATAAATATGTGTGCAATGGTACCTGATATAAGTCAGATCATGCCTACCTACATACAAAATACAAGTACCTACTAAGCATCATACACTGGTAGTGTATCCATACATACAATGCATCACATCAGGTACGGATCCGTACATTTCCTCATTCGGCCTTTATCCCGACCATTGTCTCTCATCACCCGCCCGCCACGCGAAAAATATCATAACCCTGTCCCGCATCTCGTATTTATACCGAATATTTACGTGCAGCATTCAACGGCTGCATATTATGTATCTAACTTTACAAGATTGACACCGTTATCCCAATGGAAGATGAATCACTATAACGAGATAGAAGATATCAATTACTCTCCAAGTCCACAAGTCTTTATCCTAAAATGCTTAAGAAATGCTTAAGCTGACTGTTCGCCCCCTTGGTCCTGCTCTACTTGATTGTTTCGGTCCCTCCGTAACACAAGCCACCAGGAAGTCAAGATTGCGGCAATTCCCACGCTCAGAAACCCGAGGCAAATCCCATACGATACATGGTACGAGGGGCCAAACACGGTGCTGTAGACATGCGGGCCTGCGATGCCGCTGAACTGGGCCATAGCGTTAGTCCACCCAATGCCTAACCCAGATGCAACTGTCCCTCTGAGTGCTCGAATACGCTCCGGCCATATTACTGGATATGCCGAGCCCGCGCACGAGACGGCGACAATCAAGAATATATACCTCACCACCGCGTTGCGGACTGTGAAGAGGATTATATAGCAAATAATGATAGTCGATTCAACTGCGAAACGGTCAGAATCCACAATAATACGTTCCGTGGTTGACTCTATACTCACTCGTAACGGCAGTAGTCCACGGCCTAATGGTCTTTTTATGCAAAAAGTGACCCAAGATATTCAAGAAAAGGAACGCGCATAGGTAAGGAGGCTGTAAAGTGTATATTAGATATGATCATGGGCTGGAGACGGGTTCATCTTCTTACAATATTCATCAGCTGTGAGTTGGACGTTGTTGTGAAACCCAGTTCATAAATGACGGTGGGCAATGCTGTCCCAACACCAAAACCACCGATTCCGTGGCAGATCCAATATAAGGTGAACGTATAAAAGGTGGGATCCTTGATGAGCCTTTTTACCGATTCGAAATCCCAGTGCCCCTTTCTTCCGGAGGGGGCAGTCTTCTCGAGACGGTCTTGTAAAAAGTCTCGCTCTTCGTCTGTGAGCATCCGAGCTGTCTCGGGGTAATCCGGTAGCCACAACGCCCCAACTGAGAGCACAATAGCAGGCAAACCTTCAATTAAGAAAAGCCATCGCCAACCAGCAAGGCCGCCTAGCCCGTCCTAATCATAAACTCGTCAGTAATGCCACTCAATAATCAAGAGCACAATTCTCCAGGCAGCTGGGTAGTCACGAATAAGACGGTATGAGATAGAGCTGCTTACCATGAAGCCAATAGCATAGGCAAGCAAGCCGCTCACCGCCGGGGAAAGCTGGCCAAGGGAGTAAAAAATAGCAATCCTCTGTGGCATTTCTATAGGCTTATACCAGAATGCCATGTGGTATAATACGGCAGGATAGAACCCAGCTTCAGCCAGCCCAATGGCAAACCGAACACACATCATCTATATACACCCATGTTAGAGTCCACAAGGTTAATTGCTCGGAGCCTCAGGGGGTTCGTAACTACTTACACCTGCGAAGTCTTGTGCTGCTGCAGATGAGCAGGCAGATATACCCCAGCCGAGAATGAGTACAAACATCCATCTCGAAGGTGAAAAGACCTTCATAGCGAGGGTGTTTGAAGGCTCGAAAATCATATAGCTGTAGGAGAATATGGACAACGTCCAGGCCCATTGAGAAGGGCTCAGCCCTAGCTGCTTCTTGATACCTGTGCCATTTTCAAGATTGATGATGGCTGCATTTGAATAATTGGATGAGTCGATAACCCTAAAGACGTAAACCAATGAATAAAAGCCAACTAGCCATAGATCTATTTTCTTCATCACGGCCTTCTCGAGTTTCAAGTCGGCGCCGGATAAGCCTTGATCTACAGCAACATCGGTACCGCGTTCTGAGACCGCCGTGTTGTCGACTTTGACGTCGACTTTACTACTGCTGGAAGCCATGTTGGGTTTTGCTAGGTTATACAAACAGCCCTATGGGAAATATCCTGTAGCAGAGTTAGGTATAACGGATTCTCTTTTGGAACCTCTGACAGGTGTGGTCTCGGGCAAGCGGACTCGCCTTGAAGAACAAGAAAAGAGTGGCCAGCCGGCCCGGCGGCGGTAGCCTTTACATAGATAGATGAGCCCGGCCTGAATTACAACGTCAAGGGGTTGGCGGTGATTCGCCAAGCATAAGCCAGGCCACAACCTCTATTGCGTTATCGCACTACACCATAAGAACGTATATCGGAATTAAAGGCCCTCTACGGTTAGTTCTATGTTACAACCCCTGGGAAGAGCTAACGGAGATAGCAGTTTAATTGTTATCACTTACTATGTATGACCTCCGTGGCGAAGGTGAGGGGGGCGACCGGGCTCCGGTGACCCCCATCCTGAGGTCTAACATCAACTACCGCGAGAAACCAGCCGTTGCGGAGGGGCATCCGATAATTTCGGGATCGTATTAGGTATTCCGGCAATTCCTCTAACCCCATTGATGGATTTCCGAGCACGCCTGCGATGAGGTCGATGAGAACACAAAGCACGCAACTATCCCCGCAATCATCCCAGGACAAGTCGGCCAATCACATTAAGAGGCACATGCTATACTCCCTAGAAGAATACTTACAACTAACTCGTCTGACTAAATAACTTCATGAAGAGCAATGTCCAGTGTATAGATTTTGGTTGATATAAGACAAGACTATCTGGGTCAAGCTGATCTAGGGGAATCTCTCTACGCAGAAAGTAAATCTATAAAAAAATTATTTGAGTCAATCAGTATGGCCCCTATTGCTATCGAGACGCCAGCGGCAAGTCAGCTGCATGATAGTAGAGTTCTAGTGAAACCGTGGGCTCGGCCAGCTAAGACTTCAGAAAATCTTGAATATGCAGAACTACCCAAGATTGATCTGTCGCGGTTTGACGAGCCCGGTGGCAAGCAAGAGCTCGCTAAGCAACTTTACGATGCCGTCACTAAAGTTGGTTTCTGGTCCGTAGTCAATACGGGCATTAATGACGAGCGTGTCCTCCGTCAGTTCAGCTTCGGAAATACGTTTTTCAAAGAGCCCTTGGAGGAGAAGAGACGATTTCCCTGCAATTTTGCTGAAGGCGAATATTTCGGGTACAGAGAGAACTCCCGCTGGATTGGCGACACGGGAGTCAAGGAGAATGTGGAGATGCTGAATATACCCAAAGCTATTCCAGCCTTTGACAACGTCGGGAAGCACAGGATTGTCGAGCAGAACTGGGACGAGATTGCGTCCTTTCATAGAGATCTGTTTGATAAGGTGATCCGGAAACTCTTCATCCTCATTTCTATCATACTTGAGCTTCCAGAAAACTACCTCGCAGATGCACATGCCTATGACGAGAAGTCGGACGACCACCTCCGGTACATGATCTACAATGTAAGAAGTCAAGAGGAATGGGACAAAGCCCAAGCCTACTCTAAGGGTGGTCACACCGACTTTGGCAGCTTGACTCTGCTATTCTCCCAACATGTTGCCGGGCTACAGATACGCACACCAGAGGGAGACTGGAAATATGTAAGCCCCGTAGAGGGTGGTAGTAAGTCGACCCCTCCGCTACGCATGGTCTTATACTAACCCAGAAATAATTAAGTCACTTGCAACGCGGCGGACACTTTGACGTTTCTAACAAACGGTAATTATCAAACCCTCCAAACCAGTTGTCCACGCACCAAGCTTACCAGATTATAAGGCTTTATCAAGTCAACCATTCACCGTGTGGTGACGCCGCCGAAAGATCAAATCAACATTCCACGACTTGGTTTACTCTATTTCAGTAGGCCCGGCGACAATACGCCTATGAAAACTGTCCCATCTCCGCTGCTAGACCGTCTCGGACTCATTCCAGCAGAAGATAAAGATCCAAACAAGCCAGTAGTGTCCGGAACGGAGTATGTGAGAGCACGAGTTAAGGATGTGCATTATAAGACTGTCCTCGACAAGCGTGAGGGGACTTCTTTTAAATTCAAGGGGTTGAGTGTACAGAATTACTATAAGTAGTCTGATAATGATCTATCCTAATAGTACGCAATTCTATACAGCCCCAAACTACTCCTATGTAGGTATAGGAGAGAGAATGAGGATTACAAAGACCGGGCTTGTAAATCCTTCGGACTGAGGGGATTATATTTGCCTAGTTCAAGATTACCTAGGTAATATACACGCTTCCACATATAAATGGTACACATAGAATTCGAGTTTCCATCACAGTTTAGTTAGGTAATATATTAAAGCTCAAGAGTGCTATAGAGACTTCCTCTGATATCAAGTAAAGTTTAAACAACAACAAAAAGAAATATATAACATGGCACCAATAATAAGCTTTCTCAAACATATAATGCTACCTAGGTGTCCCAACCGCTATGGACTTTTTCTGAATTCTACAATCTATCCCTTGACTGGTATTCAACTACACCTCCACTATTTTCAGTATTGATACATAAGAATTGGCCAGGAAAGCAAAGATGGCTAAATAGACTAATGGTATTTACGGTTTGCACTAATTGTTGGACCTTTTCCTATTATGCTAATGAACGACGTCAAGTCTTAAGTACTAATACTGAAAATAGTGGAGGTGTAGTTGAATGCCAGTCAAGAGGATAGGGGCCCCCGTTAATAATGTTGGTACGTAATGATTGTCGCTATATTACCTCGAGAATGACATAAAAATATATAAGTCGTGAAATCATCGAAGCAGGGACAATATACCTCGGCGTATTAACTTCACTCATAAAAGCCCCCTTTAAACCCCCCTCACTCCCTCCCTCTATGTATACCTTCTTCGTCAGTACAAATCTAACAGTATATCACAGCACAACAGAGGCGACTGGAATAAACCACCAAGGTAACCATGGCACCAAAAATGAAAGCATTGGTCGTCGCTGAGGGCAAGACGGCAAAGGTTCAGGATGTAGATGTGCCAAAACCCAACCAAGGAGAAATCCTGGTCAAAACTCACTACGTCGCTCAAAACCCAACGGACTGGAAGAACATGCTATCCATCCTGGAACCCGTACCTCCTGGTCGGATACTAGGCTGTGACTTTGCCGGTACCGTGCAAGACCCCAACGGCTCCCATTGGCGAGAGGGACAGCGTGTCGCTGGTTTCGTCTTTGGAGCATCTGACAATCCGCCTCGAGGAGCATTTGCAGAATACCTCGTCACCGAAGCAACCTTAGTCTACCCAATCCCGGATAATGTATCCTACCAAGATGCCGCCGTGATCCCACTCGCCTTTGCAACCGCCGTACAAGCCATGTTCGGGAGATTAAAACTACCTGAGCCGAGCCAGCCGGCCAAGAGCGTCTTTCCCTTCCTTGTCAACGGGGGAACGACAAGCGTGGGCCAGTACGCTATCCAACTAGGAAAACTAGCTGGCGCCTTCGTTATCGCTACCGGATCTTCCCAGCATCACGAGTGGCTGAAGTCGCTAGGTGCCGATGCCGTCATCGACTATAAGGACCCCAATTGGCCTGAGAACGTTCAAAACCTCACGCACGATAGGCTTGAGTTTGCTTTCGATTGCATCAGCGAGAACGGCACGGTAGAGGCCGTTGCCAAGACTATATCTTCAACCAAGGGCGGCCACATCGTCACCACTCTCCCCGTGGACAAGATCAGGGATAAGATCGAGAACAAGAAGGTCAAGCTGGAGAGTACCATCGTCTACACCGTGTTCGGGCGTCCTGTTAAATACGGCAACTTTGACAATTGCGGAGAGACAACTCCGCAGGACAAAGCATTATGGGAGAAGTACTTGGCTATGCTCCCGGAATTGCTGTCTAGCGGTAAAATCAAGCCTAATAGGTGGAGAGAGCTAGGTGGCTTAGATAGCATACCGACTGGCTTCCAAGAGCATCTAGAGGGTAAGGTCAGGACCGAGAAGCTAGTTTATAAGATCGCATAGGCTGCAGAGACCACGGAAACTACATGTAATATACTACATAGCCTTTATAGGACACTCTCATTAATCCATGTTTAAACGCCGCATCGCACGCAACCGCCAAAGTTTTAACACAGTAATACTACCAGAAATCAAGGGGGAAATCTATATATTTAGAGGGTCTAGGCAGGAATAACATCCTATGGAAATAGAATATCTCCTCGGCGTATAGCAACATCTAAATTATCTTTCATTTTGATCGTCCCGTACGGTGCTAGACTAAACAATCCGGTATAGTCTACCTATCGGCTTCTACTTAACAGGTCCGAATCTCAACTCACGTCGCCTTCTTATCCGCCTGTTTCTCTGACGGGAAGGGATTATACGAGCCTCGGTCGGCCTGCAGTCCCCGTAGCTTCTCGATCACCTCGTCCAGGGGTACAGGCTTACCTCGGTCCTGGGTGGATGTGTCATCTCGGTATCGCACATTCACTTGTCGACCCTTCATCTCCTCGTCTCCGACAACTAGATTTTGGCGATTGCGTTAGTATACACGTAGACTCGAAGCAGATAGTTCTGAAACCCCCAACGGGACGGAATGCTTACCGAATATAAAGTTGTATTGTGCTAGCTGTGCACTTCGCACCTTCTTGGGAAGTGTATTTCCGCTAGTGTCGATATCGACAAATATCTTCTCCTTCTTGAGGATATCCCTAACTTCTCGTGCATATGACATGAAGCCCATTCCGACTGGGATAACCATTACTTGACGAGGGCTCAGCCAGAAAGGCCACTTCCCTGCAAAGTGCTCGATGAGAATACCTAAATAATAGAAAGTAAGCAGTCTAATCGTCTTTATGTTCCCCGACATTCGACATTCTTACCCATGAACCTCTCTATGGATCCCGCCATAGCGCGATGGATGATAACTGGGCGTGCGCAACCCGGACTCAAGGGCTTGATTACTCTCTCCTGTTTTGCTCCACTCCCCCCCCCTGTGCCTGGGTTTGCCGTGGCCGTAGTACCCGGTTGGACTTCGCTTGCTTTGGCCGCCGCCGCCTCCGCAGCAGGCTCATCCTGCTTGGGTTTCGCAGCGTGCGTCTCAGCTGTGACATATTCGAGACCAAAGTCTAGTATGTATTAGCAACAGATATGTGGCATCGTTATAAAGGGGGGGGAATATTACTCTCAGGGCCCATAAAGTCAAGTTGAATTGTGGCACATTGCCACTCCTAGATATACGGTCAGCTCGACTCCTTAGACTAACAGCACACGAGATTTAAAATGAAAATCAAACGCGGCGCTCGCGTTACGATCAAGCTACAATATGGAACAAGTGGGTAGACTAACTCGGTTCAAACAGTCCAAGATCTTGATATCGATCTATAGCATAGTTAGCAAAGCTGTAGATGATCAGAGCGGAATCCCTTAAAAGATTACCTTAGGTCCGTAGAAAGCGCCGTCCCCCTCATTGAGAGTCCACGACACGCCACTAGGTCCAGACGCAAACCCGTTAAGAGCCTCTTTCAACATGCTCTCGGCCTTATCCCAAGTCTCGATCTGGCCCATAAATTTCTCGGGTCGGGTAGATAGTTGAAGCTTGAAGGTAAATCCTAGAAGGCCATACATCTCGGAGAGGAAATCAAACAAATCGGAAATCTCGCTTGTGACCTGGTCGAGACGACAGAAGATATGCGAGTCATCTTGCTGGAACCGACGGACGCGAGTAAGACCTGACAAGGCACCGCTTGCCTCGTTTCGATGGAGAACGCCAAAGTCAGCGAGGCGCAATGGCAACTGACTGTATACCTTGGGGCTGTGAGCGAACATGAGGAAATGGGCCGGGCAATTCATTGGTTTCAGGCCCCATTTCTCCTTATCCATATCTATGACAAACATGTCTTCTTGGTAATATTCCCAGTGTCCACTGATCTTCCAAAGCTCCGAATTGAAAATGTTGGGAGTAATAACTAAGGTAGGCAGTTAGTTTGCCATGATTGGAAAAGGGGCAAATAGGGTCGGTGATGGACAAACCTTCTTGATAATCACGTTTGTGGTACTGATCTCGGATGTATGCGAGCAACGTATTGTAGATCCTTGTGCCGTGAGGCAAGAAGAAGGCCGAACCAGGAGAGAGTTCGTGAAACATAAAGAGCTCTTGCTCTTTACCGAGCTTTCGGTGATCTCGCTTGGCTGCCTCTTCCAGGAATTTCTTATGCTCTGCCATCTTCTTCTTATCCGGGAAGGATACTCCATAAATGCGTTGGAGGGAATCGTTCTCCTGGGATCCTAAAAAGTACGATGCCGAGTTCTTCATGATAGCGAATGCTTCAATTCGACCAGTGTCAGGCACATGAGGCCCACGGCAAAGGTCGATCAAGGGACCATTACGATATACAGTAGTAGAAGTACCATCGGGGATCTTGGTGGAGATGATGTGCTGCTTGTATTTGTTATAGCTAAACATTTCGAGTAGCTCATCCTTGGTCATTTCTAGACGTTCGAATCGCTGACGCTCTTTAACAATGTCTCCAACGATACGCTCGAGGGGCGTCCAGTCGCTTGTCTGGACAGCACCTCCGCCGGGTAGGGCCATCTCATAGTAGAAACCGTCGTCGATCGGGGGTCCGATACATAAGGAACAGCCGAACCTCCTCTCGCAGGCCTCGCCAAGGATATGGGCCGAGCTGTGCCAAAACACCTCCTTTCCCTTGGGGTCGTCAAAGGTTAACAATTCGAGTTTGCAACTCCGCTCCAGAGGCCTCTCCAAGTCCCATAATGTGTCTCCGTCTATTCTAGCGACGACAGAGCGCTTGTACAAACTATTCGACACACCCTTCGCAATCTCGCCAGGTGTGGTCTCCCAACTCGTTCCAATCTTGACAGAGTTGTCAGGTAGAGTAATTGTAATCTGCTCTCGCGGTTTCTTGGAAATTTCTTCGTCATACTTCTTCTTTAGACGGTCAAACAAGTCGAGGCGTGTCTTGAGGAAATCAGGCGGCGGTGTCATCTCGAGAGGACCAGCGCTAGCATCTTCGCTGGCTGCCTTACTCTTCTTATCCTTCTTTGAAGGCTTCGGCCCACCAACCACGACCTTCTTGACATCCCCAGACCCGGCGTCAGCCATGTTGTCGTATTATTGTAAGGGGAGTCGAGTCGAGTCGAGTGTTTGTGGAGTAGTGTAAAGTCGAAGTTGCGGGTTTGCGACTTGGGAATGGAAAGAATTGAAGAAAAGTTTAGGTAGGTTGAGTCACAAGTTCACAACCAATGACAGGAACAGTTCCGTATACGCTGTCTACAACATTAAATTAGCAGCGCTACGTGGTATAATACATATCTAGGTACCTAAGCGCAGGCGCTTCCCAGGGTAAAATATTATTTTAACCCACCAAATGCCCCTCTACCCCGCCAGCCCCGCATAGGTACACTACATATAGTACTTGATAACGACTATCCCCTTATCAATATTATTATCGATATCATTTATAAGATAAGATGTGTTTGTATAGCTATTGCCCTCCTTCTTATATAACTCTTAAATAAATAGTCACCCTTAATCAATACACTTATGCCAATCACTTAAACATCGATATCGCCCCTTTCTCATCCCTTGTATTCGGAAGCTCCGTCAGGCGAAGGGACGTGTAATCGGGAGGTACAGGTTCAAGTTGAATATCCGAATGCCACTGTGCGAAATTATACCTCTTATTTTTCGATTAACGTATATCTCTTTGGTTCTTCTGCCGCTGCAGTGGGCTGATAGTGTTAATTTGATCGTCACCAACTCTAAACTCAAACGTGCCGTTCAAGATCGGTGTTTATACAATGTTAAATTACTCGGTTTCCCACTGAGTTGACCCAATCGGTGAACCGGTTGCTTCTAGAGATTGTTTATAAGGTTATTTATCTTAAGAACGAAAGAACACCATACCATTCTAAGAAAATACACGAAGTTTAAGTCACAACGTTCCTGGTAAAAATGCAGCGCATATTAAATCTAATATACTGGTAATAACAAGGTCACGAATCAGGTCGTCGGCATTACATATTAACAATAAACAAGTCGTCGACAATGTTTAAACTAAGATACAAGAGGCAACCCCGCTGGATTGCACAATAGCCCTGAGTTTATGACCAAGCCAATCGATTGGTTGAATCCCGCAAGGCCGCCCAGCCTCGCCGCGCCGGGGGTCGGCAGGCGGCCACACAAGCCATACAACCCCCCCCCCCCTTAGCCATCACACAACCCCCTTTATCCACGGTTCGAATCCTCGATCTCGCATCCCTTACATTTTTACGCATTACTACGTAGGCAAAAGTGCGGTGCTTTTGCCTGCTTCGTAAGCGGGTTAAGCTCCGCGGGTCGGTTTCGCCGAACCGCTTCGTTAACCTTTTATTAACGTTGTTACAACCGAAAACCTTATCTTAGTGTACGTTAAACCACAGTTCGTTGAGGCGCGGGGCTGCGCCTGCTTAAGCCATAAAACGCATGGCCCGTATATTTATATTTGTTATCTTAGGTGACCTTAGACTAAGATTAGAAAATCGTTTGTGGGGATGTACCTCTCTTAACCATACCATTTCCCAATTAATCACAATCCTGTTCCACCCTTCTTAAACATTTTCCAATCTCTAATTTAAGGCAGTTACGAACATTACCCTCATGCATTAATAATAGTAATATATTATAATATTAATTAAATTAATTAATTTTAACGTATTTTTATCGTAAGTAATATTTTATATAAAAATAAGTATTAATTCGATCATTTAAATAAGTTATTAATTAAAACATACGCGTTTTAAAGTTAAAATTAATTATAATACCGGTTATACCGGTTATAACGCGATAGTTATAATAAACGCTATAATAAATATAATATTATAACGTGTTATAAAATAAATAAATGTTTTTAATTGTTTAAATTATTTAATTAAAATTTAAAGTTATATATATATTTAAAGTATAAAACTTTAATATATAAATAAAAATATAAAAAATTATAAATAATTAAATTATTTTT